CGAGATGGAGTCCGAGATGGACCCGAGATGGAGTCCGAGATGGAGTCCGAAGTCGAGACCGAGACCGGGACCGAGACTGAGACCGAGACCGAGACCGAGATCGGGACCGAGAACGAGATCGAGGCCGAGACTGAGCCCAAGCCCGAGTTTGAGTCCGAGTCCGAGTCCGAGTCCGAGTCCGAGTCCGAGTCCGAGTTCGAGTCTGAGAGGGTGAAAGCCCAAAGCGTTCGTCTCCCAGACCCTGGGGGGTTTGGTGAGCTCCAAAAGTATAGTAGGGGGAGGACTGCAGTGGAGCCAGTTTGGCCAAGAAAGGCCAGTTTGGCCCAGGAAGGCCGGACCCAGTGTTGGGTGATGAGCTGCCCACTAGGAAGTCCAAGACTAGGGTGAACACGGACCGGCAAGCGGGGTAGCTTGGTGAAGTGTTCAAGAGCCGGCTTTAGTTCCTCCGGGAGATCGACTGGCCGATGCTCCCAGTCCAAGTGTGGGTGGCACTACCTACTTGGATACCTGGTGTGGCTCAACGGAACCAGCTCTAAGCCCATGGCTAGAGCACCCAAGGGCAGAAGGCGAGGAGAGTACCCAGGTGGCTCGCGTAAGGCCACGGTGTTCCGAAATGTTGTCCCAAAGGCCCAGACTGTGGAAAGGAAGAGGAGCAGTCCTTTGGGGTGGTGACCAAGGACACAGTCGTGTGGTGAGGAAGTCCCAGAGGACTGTGGGACTTAGTGGTCGGGCCTGTGGGTCTCGATCCAGTGGCAGTGTTGGCAAACACGACCAGGGGCAGAAAGGGACTTAGTGGGGACTGACAGAGGGATATTGGGGAAGGCTATTCCCCTTGTCGGTGGGCATCCTAAGGATGCTAAGGAGTGGATCTGAGATGACCACTCACGGATGGTTTGCCTAGTCTTGGAGAGCCAAGACTATGATGCAAGTGGTATTGGACTACCAGTGTGGCAAAGGTGATTGGGCATGGGCTTAGCGTAACGGGTTGCTATGTCGGTGGTACCTTTGAGTGTCGGTCATGGGATCGGACACGTGGGGCACTTGGACCAAGTGCAAATGTTGAGTGGCATGGATGCCATTCTCGGGGCTAGCAAGTCCCAAGTCCTGGATTGGACTTATGGAGGTTGTGAATGAGACTCCTCCAAGTGGTCAGAGGTGTGGTTAAGTGACTAAAGTAGAATGGAAAATTTAGTCGCTTACACTGCCAGGTTCTGGAGAACCCTCTCATCCTCGAATAATATTCTTCCACGTGTCTGTTAATAGTCTTGCCACAGCCTGTTAAGGTTGTTCCCGGGCACGGGCTCACTCGTTCCCTCCAGAACGCACTCGCTGGGCTAATGCTCAGCTCGCCCATTCTGGGCGGGAACGTGCTCGCCCTACCTAGGAACTACCTCATAACCAATCAAAAGCATTGTACAAACAATGACAATGTGCCACTTTTCATGGTATTTTGAAATATAAAGTTGTTATCTTTTCTTTATCAAATAAACAGGCGATAGTAAGTTTCTACATTATGAATAGTTTATTGATATATATAAAACCTAGACACTGACATGTGTTGTCATAGAAAATACTTCCTTTGATTTTAAAATTAAAATTCAGAACAGACATTTTGTCGTGTGGAATATAAACATATCTTATCTAAGGATGGGATTTCAACAATGTTTTTCTTAGACAATGCATGAAATTATACTTTATGGTCAGTATAGTGAAGGTTTTGTCACAGCTATTAGAGTTTTTGGTCACAAAGACAGGTTTTAGATGAGAATGCACTTATATATATATTAGATCATCCTCCTTTATGATGATCTAATTGTCTTTTGTGCTTAGATTTAGCTAAGCAATTGTTATATTAATCAATAAAAACTAATACTTTATAAATAGAAGTCTCAAACTAGACAAACATATAACAATTTTAACAAATATTGAAACTAAAAGTTCCTAGAGTTTCAAGAAGCTCACAAAATATCAATATCTGTTTATATATTATATATGTATGATATTAAAAGGTACTTATAGGCAAATATTTGTATTTATATATGACAATGGTTTGATGCAATTTTTCCAGCCAGGACATACTGTGTAAAAGCTGTGTTGCAAGTTATTGTAGTCTCTATTGTTATAGCTTAGTGTTAAATCAGTATATCGACTAGATTGGAGTCTCACATGTAATAAATCATTATCTAAATAAACAAATCCTCCTTGACCAAAAGGAATTATACATTCATTCCATATAATATCAAATGCCTCAACAATATCATCCATAATCTTTGGATAATACGAATCAACAAAAACAGTCAGTGATAAATTATTCTGAATAAAATTTTGACGACCTGTAAGATTTTGACGGACAAAATCTAAAACATCATATTTAAGTTCACAAACATCTTTCTCATTATATATGGAATTAGTTCTAGGAATACAAGCTTTTATAAATGGAGAGCTCATTCCAGATATTTTATCAATTACTAAATAAATTATAAATAAAAAAAATTTAATTGTCATACTTAGAAATGTTAAACTTAACTTTGCAATTTCAATTATTCCTTGCTAAAAATTTCATCAAGCTTAAATATCCTTGATGGAAGGAATATACTAGGATAAAAATTGCCAAGAACCCTATCTTGTTTCAAAATAAAATAGGTTTATATGATTTTAAAATTTGCAAAAGAATGTTTACTGAGATATGTCATAAGGCTGTTTAAAGAATTACAAGAGGATAAAAGACTGACAAGGAGAGAAAAGAAAACCATAATCATTAAAATAAGGTTAATAGAAACTATTTTTGGTAAAACTTGTCTAGAAGTATCATTTAGGCATCCAATCCTAAATGCCTATGTACTGTAGCGCACGTGGTTTTGACCCTTCATCCTATGGTGATTTACCATAGGATAACACCACGAAGCAGAACCTAAACCCTCTTTATGCCACGTGACACATGCCACGTGTCCATAGTAACTAGAGGTTCAGGGCCTTGGGCCACTGAACGAAGGAACAGTGCCAAACTCCCAAGCACGAAGCCAAGGAGTGACGAAACCGAACCACAGAGCAACTCCTGAGCATAAAGCCCAAGGAGCAAAGGGACAGGAGCCCGGAGCGACTTGGAATAGTTCTAGAGTAACCAGCATCCCAATGCCAGGACCAGCATGCAAAACGGAGCCAAACGGAGTTTGGTGCTATTTCGGCATACCGGTGGCCTAACGCGAGGACATAGGTACTCCACCAGCTAGCATGGTGTGGAACTTGGGCTTAGACCCAAGCCAGATGCAAAACAAGGACAGGCACGCAAGCGGGAGCTAGACTATGCCTCAGATTGGTCAGCCATGCTCAACCTACCCACTATCCCTACTATACATTTGGAACCCCCCATAGTAGTCTTTGGGACAAGCAAGCTCAAAACTTACTAAATATGGAATGTCCTTAAATTGTGAATTTGGACACGAGACGAACACCATTGTGTTCAGACCGATATTTACATTCCGTAGATATGCCAAATGAGCAAATCTGGACACTTTCCATAAATAGCATTTGAGACCGAAATGAGACTAACATAAAGGGCATGATAGTGAGGGTGTTTGGCAGACACGGTAAGCTATCATGTAGCGATATTGAGGGACCAATCTTAATACGTGAGGGTTCTTGTCAAGCCAGTGCAAAACAGAGCAAAAGAAAACTAACAAGCCGGGCTGAGTATGCTCAGTTAAATAGACACTTAGGAATTCATTCCTTATGCTCATCCGGCCAAGTACAGATGCAAAGTCCAGTTTACTAACACTTGAACAAGAGGGACTAATAAAGGGTCCAGCAATACTGACTTCCTGCCATCGTGGCAGCAAGGTAAGAGTGTCCGTAAGGACTAGCCGACAGGTAACTTTCGATACCCGAAGTCACATTCGTGACATGTACACATTAGAGGTTTTGGGTTCAAATCTTTTTTTTTTTTATAAAATAAATCTAGTTAAACTATCATTACTTTTATCTGGTTTGCAGAGTTATCAATTAATTTATAATTATTTTTACTTTATTTGTAATAAATTTTCACAAAATAATAATAATAATATATTAATTTGCTAGGAGTTTGTTGTCAAGAAAAGGGGAAATGATGAAATTACTAAAATACTAAAAAAATGAGAAGAAAAGATGGATTTTTATGGAACACCTTGAATATAAAATCTTCAAACCCTTACTTTTATAAAGGCTTTCGAAACTAATTTGGTTCAACTCTAAGTTAATCCAAAAATTTAATCTAGGTATGGATCCACATTAATCCTAGATGCCCATCCATGTATATTGCAAATCTTAAATTCAAATATGATGAACAAAGTTTTAGGGTTTAATCTTTATTGTGACCAAAAGCGGTAAATATACTTTTTCGTAAAGATAAAGGTATAGCAAATACACAATAATATCCTCCTTTAATATCAAGTATCAAGCTGTATAACTAGGTTTAAAAGGTGAAAAGTATGAGTAAAGTGAAAAGTAAACCCAAAAAAGTATGAGTAAAATAAGAAGTAAACCCCCAAGTATAAAACCAATTGCTAAAGGACATGAATATAATTAAAAAAGATGAAAAGCATAGTTGATGAATAATGAAGAGTTATGTGTTGAAAAGTGTTAAGAATTATCATAAGCAAACTTCGCAAAAGGAAGGAGATCAACCCAAATATTTTGTTAATAAAATAAAGCATTAAAGATACTAATCAAGAGTATCTCATAGATATTATATATAATGCCCAGCCCTTTCTATTACAAAATAACACCCAAAGCCAAATCTAAAGCATTTATTTTAACAAAATACAACTTTATATTGTCAAGATAAATGAAAACTAAAGTAAAAGTGAATATAGAGTTTAGGGGATTAAAAAAAGTTTGGGCATTAATGGGCATTAATCATTGAAGGAATAAGAACAGAAGTTTTTGGTAGTAATAATATCTCATAAATACATTATATCTACTTGACATATATTGTATAAAAACTACAATTTTGTCATTTTGTCAATTTTGAATATTTCTTTCTTTGATAACAGATGTAGCATGAGAATAATACTTCGTGGGGTGAATCAAAACATAATAAATGTTTTGTCACAGTTATTGGAATTTGCAAGAAGTGCAAAGATCATGCGAGCTGATCCGAGTAAGTTTCGTTAAAAACACGCTTACTAGAGTGTTGGTGTAACTCTAGGTTGACAATGTTGATCCGTTTTCTCTCAGGACCTATGCACGAGGAGCTCGATCGAAAAGAGTGCTGCTCATTAGCTGGGGGTAGACTATCTGGAGTTGGCTCCCACTGCAAAAAAATCTGGTAAGCTCCAAGCTAAACTAGCAAAATGGTACCTCGTCATTTGTCTGTATGGCACACGAAACTCTCCTCGGCGGGCCTGCATTGTCGAGGTCATTAGTGTCGACTTGGAATGCGAGGATATCCTCGACTGAAATCCTTGGTTTGTCTTCTTGGCCTGGAAGGAAAATTCATTCTTTAAGTGTACCACCAAAGGAATCATGCATTCTCTCACCCTCGTATAAAACATGGGACCATGATCCAAAAACCGAAGGTTGTCCTTTCGGGGCAGTGTCCGATGAGATTGCCTTTTGCATCATCACGCGCAAGGATATTGCGGTCCTAAGCAAGTGCCTGTGATTAAAAGACACGACGATATCAGAACGTGATGGAAAGCTCAAAAAGCTCACTTCAAAAAGTCCTGGCGCTGCTGAATTGGTAGCAGATCGAGATGGTTGGTTGGAGTGTTTAAGTCGACGCCGTCCTCGGGTATAAGACTGTAAGATGAGTTTAGGCGCGCGCTAGCTTTGTCAAACAAGTGTACCTGGTGTCTTCGTCGACATTCGCAAGCTCTTCCAACTCGACGTCTTCAAGAGCAAGATAAAGGAACTTCACGGCTTCCTCTGCTGCTCCAACCGATTCAGCGCATTTTGTTTTCTCCTCTATCGCTGCTTTTAGTTTCTCTAGATCCTGACCAATACAAACGAAGATAATGCACAGGTTTTGCCTTGAGACATACTTGGTGTTCTTTCTGAATTTCGGCTTTGAGCTGCTCATTACGGTTGATGAGATGCTTCAGCTCGTCCATCTCTTCAATGGCCTCGATATTAGCGGCCAGATGTTGCTCTAAAAGACGGCAAAAACGTCAGAAGGAAAATCTGGAAACAAGGGAAGACAAGACCTTGAAGTTTGAACAGCAGGATCCGCGAAGCCTTTTGATAACTGTGGTTTTTCCTCGCAAGTTCTTCTTCTAGCTTCACAAGAACATAGCCATCCTTTTAATTTAAGAAGAATGTAGCAATAGTACCTCTTTTGCTGCAAGCATCTTGTCTTCAAGCTCGTTGTTCTCGTGCTGAAGTTGTCCATTTTTCAGAACCAGCAGCTCCGTCTGTCTGATATGATAGGCAACCTCTTTCGCTAGCTGCTCATTCTCCAAAATCGTTCTTTTTGTTTTCTGCGTACAAAAGAATCAGAATCGCAATGATATCAGCTGACAAACTCCAGAGAAAGAATCAAGTTTACTTCTTCTTTTTGTCTCCTTATGCAGCAGCCCGATTGAGAAACATACGACGTGGAGCTGCTCCTCCGTTTGTTTGATCATCAAGAGCTTTGTCTCTTCGATTTTAACCGCCATCTCTTTGCGCAATCTCTCCCGCTCTTGTTGTGCCACTCGTTCCACGTCGTTCAAGGCCTCTTGGTGTTGCTTCTTTTCCTTGGAAAGCTGGTTCTTCAAGCTGCCAACAAGAAAAAAAAAGAAAACACTTAGTTTGGCCTGAAATAACTTGAAGCACAAAGGAGAGAAGTCCATACTTTTGGATCTCTTTTTCGATAGCGGCCCTTCGTAGCGTAAACTCCTTCACTGCTTGGATCAAATTGTGTGCATCATCCAGCTCTTTCTGGATTGCTTCGACTTGGATCCTGTGAGTGGTTTTCAATTCGTTGAGCTCCGCCAGAAGCGCGGCATGAGACTCAGCCCTCTCCTTCTTGAGCGTTTCGATAATTTGTTCCATCTCCTCGCTTCGCCGATCAAATTCCTTTGCATCTCTGCATTGGAAAAACACAGTCTCGAAACACAGTCTCGCGAGAAAGAAGGATACCTGGTGAGCGCGGCGATCTGATCCTCCAGAATCTTGTCCCTGTCCTCAGCTTGCCTGCGCGTCTCCTTGATGACGCTCCCAAGATTGAACGCCCGCTCCTCAAGCCTGGCGATCTTGTCATTGCTGCACAGGATTTGCAAGTCCTTGGCCTGGATCTCGCCCTTGACAACATCTAGCTCGTCCTTCTCTCCCTCCTTGGGCGGCATTCTTCTCTTACCTTCTCACCGCCATTCTGAAACTCAAAAATAAAACAAATGCCCTAATCGCGAGCCGTCCACGTGGCAAAATCCTAGTCGTTGTTGGCAACTCCGCCAGACGATTCGTTGAATATTCCGGCTTAGCCGGAATATGAAACGGCTGAGCGGAATGTGCGGGCTTTTGGCACTATATGTCCCAGAATATCCTCACATTTTTCAGGGCTTAGTCGAGGCTCTTGAGCTATGGCGACGACGATGATGCAGCCGATCACCTCTCCCGCCGCGGCGACCATGTCTCCCGGATGCAGCCCCTTCCAGTCCTCGATCGGTAAGCTCCCTGTCCGATTTCTTGCTCGAAATTCTCATGCTGCATGCCTAGATTTCGATGCTGCGGCTGTCGATCTGCATTTGACTGATCACAGCGCTCGCATTTCTTGCCACTTCCAGGTGAAATTCGATTTGGATCGTTGAGAATCTCCCCGGCACAGCAATCGAAGCGTTTGAAGCAAACAAGGCGAACAGTCGTAGCGGCGGAATACAGGTACTTTTTTTAAGTCACAGAGCCAAGAATTTTTTTCTCTTTGATGTTCTTCCATCGGACTTAAGTCTTTGCTTTTTTTTCTCCAGACGAAGTGGTGGTGGATCAGGAGATTTTGTTGCTGGATTTCTACTCGGTGGTGTTGTTTTCGGTGCTCTTGGCTACCTTCTAGCACCTCAGGTAACTATTTCTTTTCGCTTTTCTTCCAGAGAAACGTTCTTACAGTTTCGTGCCTGCCTATGCATGCGAGAAGTTAAATCGATCGCTCGACAAAGTGAGTAGTGAGAACGGAGCGGCGCTGCCAACAAAACCAAACAAGTATTTGGAAGACGAAGGGATCGAGGTAAGCTCATCCTCCGAATCCCTCCCGTGGGTGTTAACAATTCCAGTAAAGTTCCACGAACTCGAGGAAGAGAATGGAATCGAGGTAGTGCGAACGGAGCATCGTTGTTCTTGAGTTTCCCATGTCGAGCTTTTCTAGGAACTTTGGTTTTCATCGTCAAGAGCTAATGCTATCTTCGCTTGCAGACGACGAGAAAGAGCTTGAGCGCCAAGATCGATGAGCTCAACGCCGCGATCGAGAACGTCTCCGCGCAGCTTAAAGAAGGCGAATCCATGAAAGAGATCGAAGTTTCCGCATAGAAAAGGGAAGAACAAACGAGAAGAAGAGAAGAGAGCGAGAAAGCGAGAATTTAGAGCTCGTTGGCTTGTAAGGAATAAATTTTTTTTTGTTTATCAAATATATAAATTGTATTTCTTATCTCCTTAAAGTTTTTCTACACCAAGTACCGAGTTTTCTGTGCCGTCAGATCTCTTGTTCCATCTCGACCGTTGTTTCATTGTCTCTCATCTTGACCGTTCAATTACTTGAGCGTTCAAGAACCCTAAGAACCATCCTAGGGTTTTTGGTCAGGGCGGCGGCTTAGCGATGGTGAAGGGAAACAATGTCATTCCCAATCAGCATTTCAAGAAGGATTGGGAGAAGCTGGTGAGGACATGGTTCAATCAGCCGGCGCGCAAGGTCCGCAGAAGAAAGGGTGAGTAGAATTCGCGATTTCTTCTTTTCTCTCTCGCCATTCTTAGTTTTTGGGCGATTCTTCCTGCAGCCCGGTCGATCAAGGCTGCCAAGATCTTCCCTCGCCCGCCATCCGGCCCTCTGCGCCCGGTGGTCCACTGCCCGACCGTCAAGTACAACAGCAAGGTAAAATACGGCCGAGGGTTCTCGCTGGAGGAGCTCAAGGTAGGAATTTCTCTTCTCTTCTTTGCTTGTAGCTCAGTGTTGGAGATCCAGGAAGCTGGGATCTCCAAGAATCTCGCTCGCACGATTGGAATCGCCCTGGATCACAGGAGGAAGAACCGGAGCCTCGAGAGCTTGCAGACGAATGTCCAGCGATTGAACACGTACAAGACGAAGCTCATCGTCTTCCCACGCAAAGCTAAGAAAACAAAGGTAAAGATGGATGCCTTTCGAGTTCTTGGGAGCGGAGCTTTGCATTTTTTGGATTCGCGACACTCAAATCGTCGTGTTTTTCAGATGGGCGATTCGCAACCCGAGGTTCTGAGCACCGCGACGCAGTTCCAAGGGCCAGTGCTGCCAATTGTTCCAAAGAAACCCGAGGTCGGCATTGTCACAGTGACCGACGAGATGAAGGCCGTGAAAGCTTATCAGAAGCTCCGGATCGAGCAGACCAACAAGCGTCTCGTTGGAATCCGCGCGAAGAAGGCTGCCGAGGCCGAGAAGGAAGAAGGGAAGAAGTAAACAAACCAGAGCTATCCATCAAAAATGGTTTTTTTGTTGTCTCAAAGTAATCGACCTCGTACGACTTTTTTCATTGTTAAAATTTTAGGGTTCTTGGGTTAACAATCTAAAACCCTAAAGGAGAAAGGGTTTAGGGTTCTTGGGATGAAGCGAGAGCGCGAGAATGCGGTAGAGGCTGCGGGCTCGAGGAAGCGGTCGAAATTCGCTTCTGTGGATCGATCGAGTGGCAAAGCGGTGGCTGTGAGCCAGAATTGGATGGAGCTGCGATCAGTTGGTGTGGCAGCTCCTAGGCTTTTAGCGATGGGAGATTTTGGACTCTAAAGCGCTCATTCTTTGATTCTGTGCAGAAGCTGGGGATTTGTGCGAAGAAGCGCAAGGAGATTTCGATCGCGTCAGGTTTGATTCGTGGATCGTGCTTGTTTTATTTCCCTGACATTGTTGCGCTTTGTAGAGAAGAAAGAAACCACGCTCCAAAAGCTCCCAGAGCCTTCCAGCACTGATTCCAGGTACTGGCACGAACGTATGGGATTTTTCTTATAACTTTTGGTGTGTTATAGCGTAACAAAGGTCCTTGCGATGGATTGCGAAATGGTGGGAGTTGGATTTGAGGGAAAGAAAAGCGTTCTTGCTAGAATCAGCCTGGTAACGAATTTCTCGTAGTGTTTTTTTCCTTGCTTCTTATTTTGCTTGGACCTTGTCGAAAGGTGAATGAGCATGGGAACATAGTGTACGATGAATATGTGAAACCCATGGAATTTGTCACGGATTTTCGCACTCACGTAAGCGGGATTCGCTACAAAGATATAAAGAATGGTAAGTGGTGTGGTCCAAGCATTAGTTTTTCGTTTCGTTTCGATTGTTTTGGTGTTCTTTGCCTGTAGGGAAAGCTTTTGCAACCGTGCAACAAGAAGTATCCGACTTGTTATCCGGGCGTATACTAGTCGGGCACGCTTTACATTATGATTTTAAGGTAGACTCATTCTTTTGAAGTAGACGATTTGATTTATTTCACGCACTTTGCAGGTTCTCTTGTTGAACCATCCGAAAGCTGATACTCGGGATACTAGTCTCTATGCTCCATTTCGCAGGTTTGTATAGAGGAAGAGCTTGTGGAACTTATGGTGTTTCTTTCTCGGTTTTTTAGTGAGCATGGGCGACCGAGATCCCTCCAGCATTTAGCTGCGCTGTTTCTCGACGCTAAAGTTCAAGATGGCGCTCATTCTTCGGTAAGCTGTAGAAAAAATCACCAGACATCGAAGGATTGTATGCTGTTTTTTCTTTCAGGTGGAGGATGCCCGAAGTGCAATGCTACTATATCAAAAGTTTAGATCGGAATGGGAGAAAAGCGTGTGGAAACGACACAAGAAATCGGTTAAGCAGTAAGTTTCTTTCAGGCGATAGAACTATACACAGGTGAGGTTTCGTTTCTATGACGAGCTGTCCTTGACGTCGTCGTCATCTTCATCATCTGGCCGTGTAGAGCTTTGTCCCGCAGGTGTCAAGAGGGATGTAAATCCCTTCCATAGCCGGGAGCTAAACGAGCTCTCTCCCGGGAAAGAATTGTTAATACTGTCACCGGACATTAGTTCCAGTGGAACTGCCGACTGGAGCTCGAGGTTGCCGAGCCTCACAGCCCCAAGGATTCTCTCCGGAAGCTCGTCCGGATGCTGGCTCTCGATGAGAAACGCGAGATCCACAGTGAGGCTGGTGATGTATCCGATCGCTAAGTGGACGATGGCGTTGGCAACCATGGAGGAGCCGATATCAACATCAACTTCCAGGAAGTTTGGAGCGGTGGAGTACTTGCAAGTGAGAGTTCTTCCGAGAACGCAGATGGCTTGCTCGCCAACGGCGGTCTTGACGATCCAGGGCCCCTGGACGACGTTGGCAATGAGCTTGAGCCTCGAGTTCTTGAAGGCGTCGTCTCCCCGGAGGAAGCGGTCGATCAGAGAGTTCTCCGGGAAGCGATGGTGGCTGACGAAGTAGATGATGGCACTGTAGTTCTCCTTGCTGGGGACTTGGAGATTAAAAGCCCACACGAATGGAGAGGTAGGAGAATTCGAAAGAATAGAGGAAGAGTTGCCAGGAATTGGATCCAAATTGCCTAGAGCTGCCGTGATTCTCGACTGGGGATGCCTAAGGACGTCGTAGATCTTGGAGGAGCTCTTGATCCAGTCGACGGCGAGCGGCTCTAGAAGCCAATCCCCTGCGGCAATTTTGGCCTTGGTAGCGAAATAATCCGGGCCGCGCACTCTGAAGCAATCACCTGGAGGCGAGCACCAGCCGTTGAAGCAGGAATCGAGGCCTGTGAGCGGCAGCGCGCCACCGCGCTTGAGCTGCTCGATCCAAGCCGGATCTGCCGCATTGCCCATTTTTCCCTCCCCAGTAAACCCTAATTAGGGTTCTTACGATTGTCACTCTGTTTTTACGCATTTAGAATATTCCCGTAGCTTTGGGAATGGATTTTGCCCCTCTCGGAGAACAGAGTTTTCCCGTTGCTAGTGCTTTGATCGCGCTCCAGTGGTGTAGGTCTTTCCTTTCTTACTGTGACGCTGGAATAGGAGGGAATGTGGCGCGGAGAACAGGGGAAGAGCTATCGATCGCATTGATTCTTCGAGCGAGGGCAACAGCTCGAGGGTAGCACGACGCTCCCATTCGATCGATCGCTGGGTAGGGTTTGAGGCGGGTGCGCTTGCTCTTTTCTTCCCTCGGTTTCTTGAATTAGGGCTTGGGCAAAGCATCACGCTCTGCGCGAGCAGGGCTTTAGGCGGCAAGGTGCTGGGCGCGCTAGGGTTTAGATCGGCCAGGAATACCAACAGTTCTTACCGAAATCCGGTAAGCTCTCGATCGATTCAGCTGCGCTGCGAAATATTCCGCTCCAGGATTGATCCGCGCGCTAACATCCTCTGTTTTTCCCTGTTCTTGCAGGAGAGAGGAGCAAGAAGAGGGCGAAATCTCTCTCTCTCTTGCTCGTAAGCAGGGCATGCTCTGTTTGGCATCGATCAATGCGGTGAAATTTGGGAAAGATTCTGAGTGACATGGTGGAGGTGGAAGTAGCGCCGTGGATCAAGGGGCTTCCTGTAGCTCCAGAGTATCGCCCCAGCGAGGCCGATTTTGTGGATCCCATCTCCTTCGTGCTGAGGATCGAGGAGGAAGCTGGGCAGTTTGGGATTTGCAAGATCGTCCCGCCCACCGTGAAGCCGCGCCGGAAGTCGCTCCTTCCAAACCTCTACAGGTCCATAGCCGCGGCCGGGAAATCGTCGGGGAAGAAGGCATCGATTGGGCTCGACGCGAATTCTCTAGCGGGATCCAAGTTTACCACTCGCAAGCAAGAGCTGGGCGATCAGACTCACGCTCAAACTCGGCACAGCAAGGGGGCAAGCTATACCTTGGACCAGTTTGAGATCAAGGCCAAGGCTTTTACTCGAGCACAGGTTGGAACTTCCAGGGATGTTGTTCCGGTTGTCTTGGAGGCTCTGTTCTGGAAGACAATCGAGGAGGATAAGCCAGTGACTGTGGAATATGCGGACTATATTCCAGGCTCCGCGTTCCCGGAGAGTGATAGCGAGCAGGGCGATGGCAAGAAAAGGAAGAAGAGTGCTGTGGACAGGGAAGGGTGGAAGCTCGTCAATAGTCCCTGGAACATGAGATACTTGGCGAAGTTACAGGGGTCTTTGCTGAGATTCATGCCTGGCGAGGTCCAAGGCGTGACGTCTCCGCTGTTATACATAGCCATGCTCTTCAGCCACTGGTCATGGAGAACCGAGAGCCACGACCTCCACTTTGTGGACTATTTGCATCTGGGTGCTCCGAAGACGTGGTATGTGGTGCCACCCGGCGCGGCTCCTGCTTTCGAGGACGTTTTAAGAAACCAAGGTTAGTGATGGTTTGCTAAGGATTTTTTCTTGATACTCGCGATGTGTTTTTGTCTCTAGACGATAACTCCGTCGTCAGCCCGGAAGTGCTCGTGATCAATGGCGTTCCCTGCTGCAGGTGTTTCTTTTGATTTTCGATCGTTTGCATGTATGTGACAAGCGCATCTCAGACTTGTGCAGAACCCTGGAGAGTACGTCATCGTTTTTCCGAGGGCGTATAATTTCAGCTTCAGCCATAGTAGGCGCGCTTTGCTTGTGGTTTATTACTTACATTACATTTTCCAGGTTTCAATTGCGGTGAAACCAGCAGTTTAGCAAGTCCAGGCTGGTTGAAAGCTGCCAAGCAAGCAGCTGCTCGCAAAGAATTATTATGCCGTCCTCCGATGGTTTGCCATGAGAAATTATTATACCAAACAGCACTAGCGTTTGCGAAAAGGTAACAAAACCAAGCTATCCATTTATGATTGATTGAATTGACGAATTTTCTTTGCTAGTTCGAACGCACAGGATGTCCGAAGTTCGAGACTAAAGCACAAAATGAAAGTCGGCGCAGAGGAAGCAGTAAGAACAGAGTTCGTCAACGACATGGCCAAGAATCAACAGGTGCTCGACAAACTCGTTAGCATGACACAGGCAAGGCGGGTTATTTTCAAGGGCGATGACGGGAAGGAGAGTCTCTCCAACCTGGTGAACTTAGGCACAATTGACTCTATCTCGCTGCTATCATTTGTGTGCGAAACCATGGAAGGCGCCGACGAGAAGGTTGGCGATGATGAGACCCTCGGTAAAAACAGTCCTCCTCGAATTGATTGGGGGAATGTATCCTGTTCCATTTGCGGTATTCTGTGCTACTCCTGCATAGTGATTGTTCAGCCGACGTCCAAAGCCAGTGAGAGTATTCGGGAAGGAAGATTGACAGTCACAGATGAGAACCACGTACAGGAAGATGAGAATGGATCGTCTCGGAAGGTTCTACCTCCGAATGGGAGCAGGAAAGCAGGCCGGGATAACTTACAGCGTCCATATATCATGTGCTCGGAGCACGCGTTACAGGTATCCTTGCTGCTCCAAGGTTGCGGGGGAAGCCTCGTTCTGGTTGTTTATCATCCAGGTAAATGCTTCGCTGTTTTTCAGCTGCTTTGTGGAACTGATTCCTTTGTTTTCTTTTCTTTTCATGTGCTTACAGAGTATGAGATGTTCGATAAGAATGCGAAGGACTTTGCAATGGATATGAGCATGCGGTGTCGCTTCAGAGATACCACGTATGACGAGGAGAACCAGCAGGATTTGCAACTCATCAGCGCTGCAATCGAAGCGGCTGAGAGACCTGACAACGGTTGGATTGATCATGTTCAGGCAAGGCTTCCAGCGACAGCATCCTTTTTAGAAAACAGCAGGGCAGAAACAGACGAAGATGACACTGAATTGGTGGTAGAGAAGACATCGAAGGAGAAGAAAGTAGTCGGGCGTTGGTGTGGTCGGGTCTGGAGACATGATCAGACGCACGCCATTTTAGGAGGGTGCCGAACAGCTTCCAAAGTAGAAGATAACCAGGATGAGTTAGCGGATAGTAAGACCAGGAAAAGTAAAGGCGGCCACGACGAGGACATACTTAAGAGTGAGGACTATGCAAGCCTCAGGAAAAACTGTAGGAAAAGGAAACGGACACAAATGGTTGCAGTATGGCGGGTTGAATCCGAGCCTCAGCCTTGCTCCACGCAAATAAGTGAAAGTCTTCCTTCTGAACTGGAGGCCAACGATGTCAAGACCGAGAAGGTTGCTTCTCTTGACGAGGATGTCAAAGTGTCAGAGCCAGAGCTTCGAACGGAGAATCGCTCGTCTGAAGAAGGCCGGCCTCTACCTCCTCTAGTTTGCAAGGAAGAAAAGGAAGAAAACGGGAAGTTGGAGCTGCCGTGTCCTGAGGAAACGACCAAGCCGCTAGTTATCGTGGACTGCAAGGAGGAGCCTGAGATTCATCGTGAAGCTGTGGTTTTGGACGAAGAGGCCCCTCAGGAGAATGTTGCGGCATATAAGGAAGTGTTACCAGCTCCTCCGGAGGAACCTGAGCAGCAATCCAAGGAGAAGGAGCCTGACCCGGTAGCTGCTGAAAATGAGCCTGTTTCGGTGGTGATCACTGAAGACGATGGTCAGCATGGTGCAGGATCGACGCTCTGTTTCTCAAACAGCGTATGGCATGACGTGCCTATCTCGTTTTCTCCAACTTTTCATTCATCGTACATGGATGAGAAGCCAAAGGCATGGCCGACGGCTCACAGGACGCCATTGAAGATAGGAATCCCAAAGAGGAAAAGGACTCAAATAGCTTCATCTTTGGAGGCTAGCGACGAAGAGAAACAGCTAACAGACGAGGACCTGGAAGAAGATTATGATGAAGAAGAAGAAGCAGAGGAAGACGAGGAGGAGCAGAATTATAGCAATGTGTCAGCTTCGTCTGTTGAGGATGACGAACGCGCTGTGGATGAAGCCGCAGAGTATGGTCTGGAATCCAGAGCTAAGAGGACCAAGCGCAAGAGCTGGAAAGCTCAAGCAGCAGAAGAACAAGAGAAAGCTCCTAGACGAGGTACGTTTCCTATGCGTGAAGCAACCAACATGAAACTTTTGTCCCTTGCAGGAGGAGCGAAGAAGGCCTCGACGTCGACAAAAAGGCCTGGCAGCGAGGCGACGAAGCGCAAGCTTGCTCCCGGCATGGTGCACTCTCATGGACTACACACTTGCGACTTCGATGGATGCACGATGAGCTTCCGAACAGCGAGCGAGCTAGCTCTGCACAAGCGCAACATCTGCACCATCAAGGAGTGCTCCAAGCGCCTCTGCTCGCACAGCTACCTGATGCAGCACTACCGCGTCCATGCCGACGACCGGCCTCTCAAGTGTCCCTGGAAAGGCTGCAAGAAGACGTTCAAATGGTCCTGGGCCCGAACGGAGCACATCCGAGTCCACACCGGCGAGAGGCCCTACGCCTGCACCGAGTGCGGCAAGAGCTACAGGTTTGTCTCGGATTTCAGTCGCCACAAGCGTACAACGGGTCACAGTACGTGAAGAGCTGGCAAGGGAAGAGCAGGAATGCAACAGGCAGGGAAGGAATCCAGGATCAGCCAACCATCGGACAGTCAGACGAGGAACTTGAAAGCTTTGATGGAGAAAGGTTGGATGACGCCAGTGCTTGGAACGAGGACTGGGACTGTGAGACTGAGACTCCGGGAAGACTTGTCTGAATAGAGCATGCACGGAACGGCACAGGGACAGGGCTTGGAAAAGCTTGGATTTTGATGAACAGGCATACAGGGCTGGAAGGATGGAAAGTTTTGTGGAGGCTGAAGTTTGGATTTTGAGGTTGGATATGCTATAGGAAAACGGGCAACCGGCACAGGCACAGGGATGAAAGGATGGAAGGTTTTGTGGAGGATCTCTTTTTCTCTGGAAGAAAGGAAGTTTGGATTTTGATGGGACTGAGGTGGAAGTGGTGATGGAAAGCTTTGGGAATAGTGGCGAAACGTGTAGAGCTTGATCATCGGGCATCTCTCGCACTCACGCGAAAAGTTGGGAAGTTTTTTGGAAGTTCTTTCTACCTGGGAAAGCTTTTATAGTCGCTGGAAAAGTCTGTGGACTTGGGGAGAGATCTACTGTGAAGCCGTTTATACTGACAGCGACGCAGAGCGAAGAAGATGGACTCTGGAAAGTCCAGTCGTGGAGGTGAAATTGTAAATGAATTTGGTGGCTGTGCCGTGCGGCCGGATTATATATCTTTAGCCGGGTCAATCGCGCGCCTGGCACAAGTTCTAGTCAGGCTTTGGTTCCGCGCAGCAAAGCCACAGGGAAAGCAGTGGAATCGAATCTAATCCGCGCCAGCGCCAGTGAATGGATCGATCGTTGGAAAGGAATTTTCTCTCTTTAAGCCGAGCCGAGAGGAAGGAGGAGGAGTGAATGGATCCAAGGAATTTTTTCTCTTAAGGTCGAGAGGAAGGAGGAAGAAGAAAGAGCTACCGTTGCGTGCGTGTGAGAGAGAGGAGAGGAGAGAGTTTTCGTGGAAGACCCGCACGAACGAACGAATCGCCGCGAGTAAAACCCGGTCAATGTGAGAGGAAGGGTGGTCGCGATTTTAACTCTTCGTCTCTCGTGTGGGCGACTTTGCGCGAGAGAAAAGAGTGGGAGGAGAGGAAAAAAGGGCGAGAGACTCTTTCCGGGGGCGCTGGAAGTGGCGAGGCTCGACTTTGGTTTCCTGGGCTGGAAGGAGTGGTCGATAATCGATCGCTGGTGTTCCTCGCCAATTGCGATCGATCGATGATCATGGCGGCAGCGGCGACTTGCCCATCGCCCACGCGATTGCTGTGCTCGCTGGCATCGTCGCCGGGCAAATTCGCGTCGCCCTCTTCGCCGCTCTCGCCCAGGTCGTCGGCGGCGGCGGCGGTCAAGGAAGAGCTGCTCATCGCGTCGATCGGAGGCGGCGGCGACGGCGATCCCGCGCCGCCGGCGAGCTTGAAGAGGAAGCGGCCGCCCAGGCTCACCATTCCCGCGTCGGAGAGGGAATCTTCCACGGCGGCGGAGTGCGTGGACGACGAATATTCCGACCTCACGCACGCTGGCCATGGCTATGGCGTCGCGTGTAAGAAGGGGCGGCGCCAGATCATGGAGGACAGCTTCACGGCACTGCCCAAGCAGGTGATACCTCGTTCCATCTCTTCTTCTTCCTGGAATTTTAGGGTTCTTGGGCTTTTTCTTCCATGGAATTTTAGGGTTCTTGGCTCAATGGATCGATCTGTGGTTATAGGGATTCTTTGGCGTCTTCGATGGCCATGGCGGGCGCGAGGCGGCGAGATTCGCAGCGCACAATCTCCTGGACAACATCGTCAAGGCGGCTTGCCCTACCGACGAGGCCGGCGCGATGCAAATCGGTGCGCAGGAGATCCGGATGGGATACCACACCACGGATTACGAATTCTTGCGCCAGGTAACGATCGATCGCGATCGATCGAGCTCTATCGATCCTCACGCTTGACATTTTCTTGGTTTTCTAGGGTTCTAGCAGTGGCGCGAGCTGCGTCTCGGCGCTAATCGCCCGGAACGAGCTCCTCGTCGCCAATGCGGGGGATTGCCGGGCGCTGCTCGTGAAATCCGGCGGCGCGGCCGTCCAGCTTACGCAGGATCATCGATTCAGCTCCGAGTCGGAGCGCCGGAGAGTAGAAAGTCTCGTAAGTTCCATCCATATCTTCTAGAATTCGATCACCAACGCGTTCTTCCAGGGTGGAATCGTGGATCGCTACACGGGGACGTGGAGGGTCCAGGGCGTGCTGGCAGTGTCGAGAGGGATTGGAGACATAGATTTGAAGCAATTCATCTCGTGCGATCCACACGTTGTGAGTTTGCCGCTGACCAGCGACTGCGAGTTCCTCATCTTGGCGTCCGATGGACTCTGGGACCTGGTGAGAGCGCCATAGCCATCTCTCTCTCTCTCTCTGAGCTCCTTTCTCCTGTCATCTCTGGAAGCTTTCCTTGTGGAAAACATCTCCATCTTTCTCTCTCTCTGAGCTCCTTTCTCCTGTCATCTTTGGAAACTTTCTTTGTGGAAAACATCTCTCTCTCTCTCTCTCTCTCTCTCTCTGAGCTCCTTTCTCCAGTCATCTCTGGAAGCTTTCCTTGTGGAAAACATCTCTCTCTCTCTCTCTCTCTCTCTCTCCTTTTCTTCTCTCACGTTTTCCTTGTGAAAAGCAAGTCTTCTCTTTTTTTCTTACTTCTTCTCCGTAATGTGCTGACCTTCGCTTTCCTAGGTGTCAAACCAGGAAGCCGCGGAGTGCGCATTGCTGGCCCTCAAGGTGGGAGCGAAGCGTGAATCGGTCCAACTAGATTCTCGTGGTGCTGCTTCAACTCCCGGATTGTCGAGCTTAGGTGCTGCGTGCCGACGATTGTTAGATCTGACACTCAAGCGAGGGTGCCTCGACGATGTAACCGTCATGATCGTGGAGCTTGGGAAGTTCTCCACACCAGAGCGAAGCTCCTGACTGGAAACCTGACGACGAAGCTGGAAATTTGTACATTCATTCTTTTTGTTTTCTCATAACTTGACTGTAAATTCATCTCTAGAGCTTAGATTTGTTTTGATTTTCTTGAATTCTGTTAAGGCTTGATGAGAGACCAAACTTTGAAACCTTTTCACCATGAGAAACCCCATAAGATTGTCATTTTTATGTCTTTCCGGTGAGCATAAATGTGCCCTTCTAGTATCTCAAGCTTCTTGGCACACAACCTGCAGATGTCAAACGGTGTATTTGAATCTGGAAGCAATACACCCAAACTTGTTGTCAAGAAAATACTACTCAGATAATTCTTTTGTCCCAGGCTGGTTGTTATGGCTAATGCTGAGGTGGTCTGAAATTCCTTTGCTTTAAAATATGTTTTGGCGTTGTGCGTGATGTGTGGGCTGCTCTTCTAGACAAGTGTCTTGTTTGATAAGATGCAAGCTACAGAAATGGTTGAGGTGGAATGCCACGCAATTTGTTTGCTACTGATAATTTTGTCTAGTGGTTGCAATTTGAATTTATATACGGCAGAGAATCTGAGACTTTTTGAGTAATGGCTTCTTCCAGTTCTTCCCATTGGTGCTGTCTCCTGCTCTTCACTGTGATCCTCACTCAATCTACTGCTTCTCTCAAGAATCAAAATGCTTGTTCCAATCAAAATGCTTTGGTCCTACCCAATCACCATCACAAGCACCAGCTCCTTCACCTTCACCTTCACCATCACCACCACCACCCTCCCCTCCACCTCCACCACCACCCCTACCCCCACCACCTTCACCTTCACCCCCACCTCCACCACCACCCCTACCCCCACCACCTTCACCCTCACCCCCACCACCGCCACCACCACCACCATCGCCACTTTGCCCACCATGTGGGTATGGCCAGAAATGCTGCTGTATGTTTCCATCCTGCTTGTTTTTGTTCAAATGCTGCCCCGTCACAACCGTTTGTGGATATGGCCCCCATTGCTAAAATGTATTCGCTTAAGATATAACTTGTAAAAGAAAAGCTTCCATTAAACAGGCATGGAAGTCCACGACGTCTCGCTTCTGTGACATGTCACTCTTCTAAGACGGACACCTAGCCGAAAAGAAAAGTTTACCCTGGCGGTACCTTCAAACGATTCGATTTTCTCGCTCCCACGTTATCCATGCCCGCGCAACCTGTCGTAAATATCTCACTATATAACCGAGCAAACGTTCTCAAAACTTAAAACTCCAGTAGCGATGGCGTTGTCTCGTCGTCACGTCCTCTTAGCTCTTCTCGCCTGTTGCTTCACACTAGTAGTAGTGGCTACTGCATTCCCTCACCATGGTCGTGATGAGGATCGCGAGGGTCCCAACTTCTGGTACCCTCCCGAGGAGCTCGACCCGGATGCTGGCTTTAAGTTCATGTTTGATCGCTGGAGAGCCGAGCACTCGAGAGTGTATGCCGAGAGAGCCGAGGAGGAGCGTAAGTTTGAGCTCTTCAAGCGTAATGTGAGGATGCTCCACGACTACTATAGGAACCTCCGGCTCTACTGGCTGGGCCTGGACCATCTTCCGGACCTGGATCACGAGGAGTTCAAGCCTCGTCTGCCATCTCGGGTTGCTTCGCCTGTCCTGCGGACCAAAGTCGATCATTCTGATGAGCGTCCTGAGCCGAGGAGGCCTCCGTTTCCTCACGTTCCAGAAGCTGTCGACTGGAGGAAGGAGGGGGCTGTGACGTCCGTGAAAGATGTTGGTAACTGCACTGGTAAGAATGTAGCTTCGCCCTGCCCTGTTGCCGGTTTTCCGAGTCTCGAGTTACTTCCCTGGAGTTCTTTCTTTTCCTGCTTTGTTGAGATGTTGTTCTGAAAGTATTTCTCGTTCTTTCCAGGTGGAGGCTGGGCCTTTGCAACTGCTGGAGCGGTGGAGGGCCTGAACAAGATCGTCACCGGGAACTTGGTGGAGCTCTCGGCCCAAGAACTCATCGACTGCGATGTCTACAATGGCGGATGCGACTACGGCTTCCCGCAGGACTCTTTCGCCTACATTCAGAAAACGGGGCTGGAAGCAAGCGCCTCGTATCCTTACATTGGGAAAAACAGCACCTGTCACATCGGGGTGAGTTATAAAAAATAAGTGGTAACAAAGATGACTCACGCATTTTGCCTGTCAGAATCCATACAAGGTGTTCATCGATGGTTTCGACACACTGCGGGGCTCTCTGTGTGCTCCCGGAGTTTCAGCTTCCGATATTGAAGAAGAGTTAAAGATGAGGGTCGCACAACAGCCAGTCACGGCTCTCATTGATGGTTCCTCTAAAGATTTTGCAAAATACACTGGAGTAAGTACTTCCGAAGTAGAAGCTATTTACTGAAAAGAGTTACTTACTTGAGTGTTTGTTTGGCAGGGAATCTTCAAAGGGCCATGCCACAGCACTGGAGACACTGGACTCACCGCAGTGTTGATCGTTGGCTATGGAAGCGACAACGGGGACGATTACTGGATCTTAAAGAACTCGAGAGGAACCAAATGGGGTGAGCAAGGATACATGAAGATTCAGCGTGGAACTGGACTCTATGGAGGCCGTTGTGGAATCAACAACTATGTTTTCTTCCCTCGCAAGTTCTGAAAGAACAGGAAAAGTAATCGTCAGACCTTTCGTATGTCTATTTGAACTACTTCCTTCAGTCACTGTTGGTCCAATGCCCATGCAAATGAAATATGATCAACAATAGTTACCAGTCTTTTGTTGTTTCACGAGTAAGATCGAGATGTCAAAGTTCTGTAGTCTTTCCATTACGAAAAGCGGTTGTTCAACAAAAATTCCCAAAGATATTGTTAAAATTGCAGCCATAGAGTTCATGGCAAAAGTGTACTAGTGGCTATCTGAGCTCCCTTGAGAAGTTTCGGAGCGGAGCTTGCTTCAGCATTTCAGTGTCACTGGAAAGAAAAGAGAGCGGCTGAGTATCTATAGATCAATCAGAAGTTCAATTGAAGCTTACATCTTGATGTCTTGACCGCGGGAGAGCCGAACTTTCAGAGCTGCAGTAGATATTCTGCGATTCCAGCTTCGAGATGCCACACTGCAGTAACTTCATGAAGCAGCGCGGGATGAAATTTTTTGAATATTACTGTACCTGGAGAATTCTTCGTCAACGTAGACATCCAGTGCTTCAGTCGACACAGAAGCGGGCCTGGAGGGCCTTTGAGGAATCTGAAAAAAACGCCCTCAGAGCAAGTGCATGATCATCATCACTAACCTTTGCTTCATTCCATCTAGTCGGCTGTTGAACGTTCTCCTTCGTCCTCTCGGCTTGAGATCCTAAATTGGTCCAAACAGGTAAGGCGTGGCCTTGAGCACCGTTCTCATGCAGTCCAGGTACTTTCGATGCTGGATTAAGCTCCGAATCGACAAACACAGAGAACCTACATGGGTCGAACCTTAGAACAGCACACATAGAACAGTCACATTTTACGTCTGATTAGAAAGCGGTGGCGCATTGCCCTTCGAAGGCTTTTGTGGAGGCCTGCTCGGCATGCTTCCTGAGCAGCAGAACATGTTAAGTGAAAACTCAAGTCAGAAAACAAAACAGCCTACCTGTTCTTTTTCCAGATTGTGGAACGACGAGGGATCCAAATGATCTGGCAAGCCCTTCGTCCACAGTGTCTTCCTCCTACAGTACCAACAGTATAAGCCGCATACACCACATAAACGTTCTGAAACTTACAGCATCTGGTTTTGGTTTTCTAAGAGTTCGCTCAAGAAAGCTCTTGTATTTGATTTTCAGCTCCTCAACTGGCTCCGCTTCCCTGCCTCACAGAAAGTCGTCCAGGATTAGCCAAAGCCTGCAAAGTCGAGAAATCATACGAACCTGGCAATACCGATCTGAAAAACTTCGTTAGCCTTGGATAGATTTTTGCACCTTTCCAGGTACGATGCATACGCTTCGTAAAACTGTGCGTAAGTCTGTCCAATGTCGTTCACCTCCAGAAAGACATAAATGTCCCGCGGGTGAGTGCATCTGTCCGCCTGGAACATCGCAAGTTAGTTTTCTAGAAGCTAGAGCAAGATAAACAGGAAAAGGAAGAAAAAAAAAGAACGAAAAGCTGAGAAGCTAGAGCTAGATAAAGAGGGGAAAAAAAAAACCAAGAGCTTACATAGTCCAGCCATAGCTTGAGGTACCGCAAATCCGACTTATACTTTGAATCGTCGCAGAACGTTCGCAGGCAAAGCTCCAGCATTGGAAGAATCCCAGACTGACTACCGCCGGAAGGGAATGCTTCCTTCGTCCACTCGATGCATCTGGAAAGAAATAGATTCGTAACGGGCACGAATCTATAGCGCATTACCTTATCCAGGGCTCCAAGGGATCATCGCCGACGTAGTCATCAATCTTCTCGAGCAAAATCCTGACCGAGAAAGCAAATCAAAACCAGGAAGCCCGCGGGCGGCAAAGAACTCACCTTCTCTGTTCGATCAGCACGGAGCGCGCAGGAGATTCATGCTTCGCCTTGAGCCCCTGGTTGAGTAGATCGACATTCTTCCGGCCCTTGCGGAGCGGCTGCACATTCTCCTTGCTCAGCTCCCACTCCATCGCTAGAAATCGCGTAGAAATCTCTGGGAGAAGCCTCCGGATCGCGCGCCCGGCCCGATGCTTCGACCGAAAAGCCCTAATACCCCGCAACGGTAATATGAACTAGAAATCCTGGCCATCGATTCAAACCCTTGCCTTAGAGCTTGAATCGTGGCCGTTGATATGTACATTTTAAATATTCACAGCTTTCTTTCTAGCTATGTCTGTATAGCTCCTGAGCTCGCGAAGAGCTTCGCGAAGAGTGCCTGTGGGTCGTGAGCATTTGTCACGAGGAGGAGATTTCTCGATTGGAACCGCGGAGACGAGAGCTGTGATGAGAGCACCCGCGGCGGCGTCTCTCGAGACTTTTCGCTCGTCGTCGCAGGCAAATGGACAGACGAGTTCCTGCTGCTGATCGAGCTCGATTGGATTCATAGGACTGCTGTAAGATCGCTTCACAGCTGCTACTGCTGCTACTTCAGCCTGCTTGACATCCAAATCGAAAACTTCTTAAGAAATCCAGCAGAAAAGAAGGCAATTCAAACACAGGAACTCGATCAACAGCTCTTGATACAAACAAGCAAAAGATCTTAACACTCACTCTTACAAATACTGCAAGCAATCAATCATATACTTTCAAAGAAATCATGAAGAACACGAGAGAAACCAAACGCTGGAGCAAAGCAAGAAAACTATCCAACGAAAGGAAAGAAACCGAACGCTGGAAGAAACCAAAAACTCGAGAGCAAAGCAAGCAAAGTAGCCACCGAAAACAAAGAACCAAACGCTGGAAGAAACCAAAAGCTCGATAGCAGAGCAAGCAAACTATCCAACGAAAGCAAAGAAAAACCGAAAAACAGAAAGACTTACCGCTGGTATGTTGCTCGACATCGTCCGAGTAGCAGCACAGATCCTCCTATCCTTCACAGCAAAGTGTGGATTCTGGGAAGAACCACTAGAACCGCCGCCACCATCGCCACCACCACCACCAACGTAGTCCTGGATGATCTCCGAGAAGATGGAGTTGGTTCGCTGAATGGCTCTCTCGACGCTGGCAGCATCCGAGTACTTGACCGAGATGCACATCCGTCCCAGCTCCGTCTCCACCGGCGTGAGGTTAAACTTGCAAAGGCTCTTGTCGGAGCTTCCATGCCCCGTCACGCTGAGAGTGCTCCTCACTTTGTATGAGAGATCAAAGTGGCAGCAGCCGGGAGATCCTCGCGAGCTGGACGAGTTGAGCTGCTGGAAGATCCTGTAAGCCGGGAGGAGCCGCGTGAGATTGTAGAGCGACCGCAGCATGATGCTGAGCATTTTCATCGCCTTCTTCCACGGATTTTTCTTCTCCTCGGCCGAGGGTGGCGGCGCCGCCACCGATCGCCGTGAGAGCGGCGGCTTCTTGGCGGTGGTGGCGGCGGTCTTGTTCTTCGTGATATGATCGGGGCTTTGGGTGGTCTTCTCGCTGTTCTTGAGACACGTCCAGGGAACGCAGTGTACCACCCAGCGCTCAAGCAATGACTGGCTTTGCTGGGTCTGCTGGCTTGGACTCCACCGGAAAACCTGGTCCTCGATCGCAGCGCAAGCACTGGAGCCGTGATGGAGCAGCAGCACGTCCACCACGATCGGCTCCACGACGCTCAAGTGGCATTTGTTCCTCATGGGAGAATTCACCAGCACGAGATTGAAGCTCTTGTTGGCGCTAGCGCTAGCGGCGGAAGAGCTCGTCGCTGGCTGCAAATACTTGGATGGGATCCTCGCGCCGAGGATCACATTCAAGCTCTTGACGAAGAATTCGGATACCATTCGCCGGCTCTCATCCTGCGATACTTTCCCTTCCATTGCCCTCTTCTTCCTGTTCTAAGCCCTGGGATCGAAATACCGCTGGCCGGGCATTTCTCGCAAGAATCTCACCTCTGGATGGAGAATCGCGGCCGAGGGAACAAAATTGTCGCCTCCAATCCGCGGAGCTCGCAGCGGGACCTTGTCATAGATGGGGAAAAATCGAAAAACCCTCGCGAGGGCTTTTCTCTGTGTTAACACAGAGAAAGAAGAGAGGCGCTAGATATGGCGGCAAACCTAGCGGCGCCGCCAAATACAAGCAAATGGCTTCCCAAACCTAGCGGCGCCGCCAGATGGCAAATACGAGATTTTTTCCTTTTATTCTCTCCACGACTTCTTATATCATATCTCTCGGCTCCAAATTTACAATCTCCTTGACGACTTGCGCTTTGTCCTGATCGAAATGCTTGTCTTCTACAGAGCCAAATAATCATTGTTTGATCACACCGAAGAATCATAGAAAACATACCTTGCTCTGTCTTGAAATCGCTGAAGAATCGAAGTAGCTTGCTCCGGTTTGCTACCAGGATGCTCACGATCTCCGGTGGCTTGTTGGTATTGGCTACGAACACCTGAGACAATCGCAGCGAGTGATTTAATCGATCATAGCAGAGCCATTTTTGCTCACTTTGAAAACGTGGAAGGCTTCGATCTGGATGTTTTTGCTCGGTTCCTGTGAAGGCCAGAACAATTAAAAAAACGTGGAAGAATGTTGCCATGAAAGCTTACCCGCAGAAGATTCATCATGATTCGAAGGTTCTCTTTTGACACGACATAGCGCATCATCACTGCAGTGTTTGATTTATCCAGGAGCATATCCCCGAGAAGCTAGCAAACAAAGATTTTGGTGGAGTGAACAAAAAGAAGCGTCTCAAAGTGATTGATACCTTGACAGCTTGTCTCCTTGTGATGTAGTTTGGAGATTCTAAAAGCCTCGTGTTGTACTCTTGAAAAAACTAGAAAAAGAATGAAACACGTCAGGAAGACTTCAGAAAAAAAAATCGAAGAGGAAAGATACCCAGTCGTAGTTTCTTGCCAGGTACTCAGCCACAGTAGATTTATGTCTCGTAAGAAGCTCCTAAGGATCAAGGATAGCTCATCGTCAGAAACCAGTGCAAAAGAGCCTGCAAGTCAATCATGTAAACACATACTGGAGGGCAACAAGCAACATTTGGAATCATCCATGCAGCAGGATCAGTCTAACAAGACCTTGAAACTCGCAGCGGCATCCGAAGCGACAGCAAAGTTTGCCAGCTCGATGTACTCGAAAAACTTCTTGAAGTGACTGGATTCCAGGACGTACCTGTGAAGCCAACAGTTACGAGATAGGAAAAGGAAAACTAAAAACTAAGACTTACCGCGCCATGCTTTGATGCCGGATGCATTCCCGAAACATCGTCCCGTAGTGCAATGCAAGATCCGCATTCTCATATCTGCAGTATGAAAGAGCAGACAATAAACACAAAGGAACGATAGAATTTTTCTAAAACATACCCAAGGATGAGCATGTCCAGCAAATCCTTGTTCCTTTCCAGGTATTCGCAAGCCAAGACTTTCGACTGGACTTGCTGCCTCTGTAAGTTCGCAACAATCTGGGTCACATCCTTTCGAGCCTGTTACACTCCTCTAAGTCAAGAAGAAAGTCTCTATACAGCCTAAAGATTTACCTCGAGCTCCAGCTTCGGTAGACAAACTATCATCAATCGAAACGTGTCGTGCTGGAAAATCTCCTGTGTGATTTGCGCGCACGAGTCCGGCGCAGGATCAAATTCATTGTTCCCATATAGCGAGATTTTGATGTCTCGAATGTTTTTGCACAGCTCCGCGATCTACAAAAGCACACAGCCATTCACATGTGTATGGCAAGAGCTTTGAAAAAATAAAATACCTTTTCCTCTCTCTTGGAATCCTTGAGGGAGTTGACATGATCGAGCGCCTGGAGCAGCTCCCTCGCCGACCGCACTAGATCCGCCGGCGACTTGGATTTGTGCTTGAAGAAACCCTTCATGGCGCCGCTTATCCGCTAGAAATCCACCGCCGCGAGCTCCCCTCCGCTATAAATCTCCACGCCAACAGCGACGCCGGGGCCACAATGCGGCGCAATCACGCGCATTCCGTGATCCTCACACACCCCGCGATGGACAAATTTCTAGCACCAGAAGCCTGGAAAGATCGAGAGAGGCCAGAATCCTACCTAGCGCGAGGGCAGCGGCAGCGAACACGATCATGCGCTCCCCTCCTCCAAACCCTGATTATCAATCATAGAAGACGCCTAGCCTAGCCTAGCTTCCCTTGGCTTCAAAAGCCCGGATATTCTTGGGATCCATCCCTGGCCGTCGATTTTTGCTACTATACGACGGCCAGGATGTGGCCACGTGACAAATAGAAAGGTACAAAAAAGAATCTAATTAGGTGTCAGGTTCGAATCCCAAGAGTCACCGATGATAGATTATGTACAGGAGTAAAAAGCATTGATCAAGGAGAAGTTCTTCGCGTCGTGTCACTGGCGAAGAATGGAACTTCGTTGTTTATGGGAGGCTTGCGACGAACTGGAGCGTAGTCTGTCCTCATTGTCTCCTCGAAATCGTCCTCGCTCAGCTCCTTTCTCGTCGATGGAGCGGTGAATTCGTCGTCCAAAGTCGCAGCGGTGGCGGAAGAAGCGTCACTGAGATTTGTTCGCTTTGGGGGACTGGATTCATACGCTCGATCCGTCACTAGCTCTTCCTGGAAAGGCGAAAGCGGTGTGAGAGACTTGAAAAAAGAGAACTTTGTGGGGGGCTTAACTGGTTTAGTCGCGAGCAGCAGCCGGGATCTCTCGATTGACTCTGTTGAATTGACAAAGCTGGGATTATAAACGCCGTGCTCTTCACAGCATGTATTTACGAACCTGGAAAAGTCTGGTCGCATTTGAGACCGGTGGAATCGAATTTAAGACAGTTGCTACTAGTCTGCAGCAAAGACTACCCGAAATGAGGGCTAGAAAAACGAAACCAGCCGTGGCTTACCGTCGGGAGTGAAGCTGTCGAAGAGTCTCCTGCAAGAAGAAAAAACCGCTGTCTGTAAGACTTTGGAGGAAGTTCTTGCTTGAAAAAAACTTACCGTGCTGTTGCTGCTGTTTGAGCTTCCTACAGTCGGCCAGCTGAAGAAGAAGAGCAATGAGCTGTAGAAGCGATGCGAATTTCGCCATCGCAGGAGAGGTTTCAGCTGGAGGAGCTCGGAGGAAGATGACGGAGAGCGTCCTGGTTTGCTGTTCCAGAGATTTTTCCTTTTATACTGCCGTCGTCGACTCAATTGATCTCGAGCATTCCCTGTTGACTGACTACTACCGCTACTATTCAACCCGAAGTTCCTGCTTCCTCAGAGATAGAATAAAGGCCCAGTGATGTATACTAAAATACTTTCACCTCGTCCCGCGAGGGAACTCCTCAATGTCTATCACTTGGCCTCTTACACCACCATGTTGTTCCTCCTGTTCCATTGCGTTGTTCACCGAAACCAAAGACGACGGTGAAGCTCGTCTCATCGTCCTCCTGCTTTTCTCCTTTTGTTTTTTTTTTTTGTTTTCCCATCCAGTGCTTGCAGTTGGAACTACAAGAGTACCGCAAGCCGCAGAGAAATCTGTGGCAGCTGCATTAATGGTGCGCTCATATGGGCTGTCTCGTCCTTCCTTTTACGACCAAGAGTGGACCCGATGCCTTGCGTCTCCTCCTGTTTTTTCTTTTCCTTCCTCCTCCCTGGAAAATTGAATCGTCCAGACTTTCTTCTCAGTGCCAGCCCGGAGTTGCGTCCTCTGCATGGCTCAAGAATCCCACGTCCCCAGGCCACCTCTGCTCTATTCCTGTGACAAAGCGACACTGACTGCCCAATGTGCCTCGCATTTTCAATGAAATATCTCTCGCCACCCTGCAAGACCAGTTTTACATAATCTTATAAAAACCATCAGCATAGAAAAAGAACCTGTCACCGCGTGGAGTGGAAAGAAAACTTGGAAACTTGGAAACTTGGAGTCGGACTCTCTGTCGCTGTAACAGAAGCGAAGTTACAGGACTCTCACTCAATCAGGGGAGCTTACCGCGGTCTTGGTCCTCACTGACAGATGAAAATCGCCTGGATTCCTCTTGACTCGGTTGCGACGAGCCTGACAATGATCCGCTGTATGACAAAGCACCGACTTTAGCGATCAGCGGGCAACAACTAAAAGAGAAACAAGAGATGGTAAGAATTATACTACTTGACCACTGCAAAGGCTGGACGAGAACGCCTGTTGCTGCAGTGCCACACGTGAACTGATGTGAAAGTAATAATAAATAGAACGTGGAAAAGCGAAATCGTTCCTGGCACACAAACGCAGGACAATGTGATAGTATAGAGAAAAAAAAAAAAAGAGAGAGAGAGCAAAACAACACAGGCAAAAGGAAAGGATCCAAAGACCGTGGTATGTTTGCGAAAGAAAGAAACAAAGTTTAAAGGCTAGCTAGAAAACTTGCAATGTAGCATGACTCAGAGCTCTAGAAGGAACACAAGGAGGAAAAAAAAAAGGATACGTAAAACGAGAGGACAAAAGCAAGAAGGAAAGAACCAAAAAAAAAAAGCTGAGAGGGGAAAGTAGAACCTGTATGATCGCCATAGGTCGTAGAAAGCAATCCCAGCTTTGTCTAATTTGATGGAGCTATTCCTCTTCGATCGCCAGGCCTCTCTGATACAACGCATAGAAAATATTATAAGAAAGTGATGGAATGCGTTAGAGAGATTCACAGACCCCTGCTGACGAAGGAATGATTTGGAAGCATTCGCGTCATCCCAGATTTCTCAGCGTAAGCAATCGCGTATAGCATCGAAAGATTCGAGACTAGGAAATACGAGCAAGATTCGAGCCCCATCTGGATCGATGCATCGATCGATTAGGTCGAGAGCTACCTCTGATCGCCATCGCCATAGCTTCTTGGCGCCAAGAAAATATTCTAAAACCCTAAAAAGCATCATGGTTCTTTCTTTCCCACGGGATTCTTCACTCGCAGATCGCCAGGGCAGGCCTGGATCGCATCGCGAATCTCGTCATTCGCATGTACAGCGTCTGCGGCAGCCTGCGCGAATGCCGAGATCGACTTCCACAGCGGCACCACCCGCCACAACGTCCACTCGCGGACGATCTTGCTTCAAGCATTTGCCCAGACAGGGGATCTTGTCAGAGCCAGGGACGTTTTCACGCGAATGGCTCTGCGCGATGTGGTCTCCTGGAATGCGCTGATCGCAGGGTGCGCGGGCGCTGGGAATCTCTCGCGGTCTCAGGAGCTCTTCGATTCCATGCCGAAGAGAGATCTTGTGTCCTGGAACAATCATCTCGGCGTATGCCCAAAACGGGCATTGCAGAGAGGCGCTGCGATTCTACCGGGGCTTGGATGGCGCCGGATTCCATCAGCTTCGTGACCGTTCTCGATGCCATTGCCGGGATGAGATCTGGGAAGGGCGATCGCCATTTAAGCGATCTGGCTGGGAATTTACACCCAGATCGCTGTAGGGACAGCGATCGTTGTGGTTTATGGAAGGACTAGAGCGCGGAGCAGTGCTTTGATCGGATCATTGGCAGGAATGCGATCTTCTGGAACGCGATGCTGTGCAAAGCGCGAAAGCTCTTCGTTCGAACCCACGATCATAGATGCCACACCTCGCCAAGAAGAGCTCCAGGAGGCAAAGGATCTCTTTGATTGCATGAAACAAAGAGATTTAGCGGTCTGGAATTTGATGCCCAAAAGGGGGATCTGTTCGAATGACTTCCGATCTTCGCTCCTACCCATGGCTTATACATGGATCCGCTACTTGAGATCTTTTATCAAACAAGTTACAAGAACGTCACCCTTTGGAACGCGATGGTCACAGTACTTGTCCAGCTTGGTCATTTGCAGGGATCGCTGGGCCTCTTTGATTCAATGGAAGTAACAAGCTCACGACGTTTGCGGCAGATGCAGGGCCATGCTTAAATATTCTTGGATAGAGCAAACCCGCTTCAGCTCTGTTCGCAAGGTTTGGAAAGAAGTACTTGATTCTCCATGGTTTTCAAAACGCTACGTTCCAGCTTTACCATGTCTTCTCCGGACGTAAGAGTCAAAGACCAGCCGAAAATTAGTCGTGCTTCTACACTTGCCACACAAATCCACCATAGGGACATCGTTATTGCCATCGCTTGCGAATGATCGCAAAACCCATAGCAAGTCGTTTGACGTCAGCTGAAATATACATGGTTGGTGAGTGGGATCTGTTCTCTTTGGCTCAATTTGTCTGCTTTCTCATCATGCAAATTGAGCCCTGCAAGTGGACAAATTGAGCCAAAGAGAACAGATCCCACTCACCATAAGTGACATTGACTTGCATCCCTATACGATTTTGAAATGCTACCGAAAAGCAGAGGTTATTCGGACCAGACGATACCATCGATCATTTACTCGGATTTAGCGCAAGCACCTTGTTTAGAATAATAAAAACCGTACTGACAAATCAAATAAAAAGCGATATGCATATCGATTTTCACGGATGCCAGATACTTGAGACCAACCATGTATATTTCAGCTGACGTCAAACGACTTGCTATGGGTTTTGTGACTTCCACCTTGGCAAACAGATGGCAATGAGTTATCACTCAAAAAACCATGACAAATACTTTAGCACGTTATAATCTAAGAAAAAACAATTTTGGGAATCAGAGGAAGATATTTTTGGAAGATATTTTTGGAAGATATTTTTGATGCATGCAGGCGTTCCCCCTTTATAAACAGATGCAAAACCTTGTATTGTCATTTCTGGGTTCAGTTCAAGGAGAATGGCCAAAGTGTTTCTTCTTTCCGCCCTCCTCGTTGGCCTGCTGCTCTTTGTAGCCGATGCATCTCGCAACACTCAGCGTACGTGTCCGCATTCTTGCAAATCGTTTGTCTAACCTGCAGATATTGTTCTAGTGACTGACAAGGAGAGCGATGTGACTTACATCGTTGAGGGGTCTCGTGAAGGTAGTAACGAGGCTGCTGGTCTCAATGTTGTCATCCCCTCCAAACACGGTAACATAGATCATGTTATGATCCCTCTTGTTGTGATCATGAGCTGTCCTTGTGATATTTATTATGCGCCACTACTTCTCCGTTTGTTAATGCTGCAGGCCTCCAAGATAAGTACTGCTGCCTGAAGGATGGTTTGGGATCATGTGTTCAGGAGTGCGACTCCAAGATCAAATACTACTGCTGCCTCAAGACTGGACTCGGCGGCTGCAAGCAACTCTGCGAGACCAATGTCGAATACTTCTGCTGCCTCAAGAACCCTTTTGGTACCTGCTTTCAGCTGTGCGACTCGTCCAAGGAACACTACTGCTGCAAGAAGAACGTTTCTGGTTCCTGCGTTGGAATGTGCCCCAAAACGGTGAACCTGATGAAGTGATCTGCGTTTGATGACAAGTGTAAGCAACATCTAAAAGCTTATAATTGCTGATACTCTCTACAACTTTTATATTTTTACAAGATTTTCGCTATACTTTTACTTTTTTCAACTGAGTTTGTAAGGTAGCTTGCCATGCCACTGCTGCTGGATCGTCCATTGGGAGACAAGTAGCTTTGAACAAGTCCTCATTCTAGTTCACGTCGCTCAGCACCAGGTCGCCATCGCTGGTAAAGCTGAGGTACGCTCCTTCCGGGACGGTTTTCGCGTAGCTCGCCATGTCAGCGCTGCTAGATAGTAGAGATTGAAACTCTCCTTGTCGTCCATGGCGTAGAAGACTGACAAGTAGAACTGGAACTCTTGGGAGGTTTGCTCCCAGCAGCTAAGTAGGAGGCAGGAAGGGGTGCTAAAGCCAAGGCTAATTCGAAATATCTGGAGTGGATTCGAGAGTGGAGCTTGGAGGAAGATGGCGCTTCCAGTGACATTGGAAGCTTTGTGTGGTCGACCAACACAGGAGGATCTGGAGCGCAAGTCTTGGCCCTCGAGAGCTCTGGAAATCTCGTCATCCGGAGCAAAATTGGAGATTTCCTGTGGCAGAGCTTTGATCATCCCTGTGATGCTGTGCTCCCTGGGATGAAGTTAGTAGCCAGCATCTCTAAGGAGAACAAAGAGCCAGGGTACTTCTCACTCGAGGTAGCCGCTTCTCGGTCGCTTTGAACTCCAGTATGTTGAGAATCTTTTGGAGAGGTCTGGAGCTCCGATGAGGAAGAAGAAGAGATATCATTTCTCTTCCTCGTCAATAGCAGCTTGGAAATCCACGGGACGAAAGGTGTTATGTGGTCCACTCCAACGATCGGTGGTGTTACTGATCAATCAGGGCACCAGTTCCTCAAGATCTACTCGAATGGAGAGCCCCGGTTTACCTCGAGATCATTCAGCACCGGCAACAGCACGAAGAGCATCAACTTAAACCCGCTCTTCTTTGGGAAAAGCTCGCTTACTCGAACCTGTGGGATCTCGTTCGAGACAGCTGAAGGATACCTCTGCATCGTTCACGAAGTACGTTTCTTCCGGGGACAAGGAGGGATGCAAGCACCTGGAAGAACCTGCGAGAACTCGCAACATCACTACATGCTCGAAGCCACAGTACGATACTTCTACAAACCTCTAGATTTATCCAGTGCGCTCCACAACGTCACTCCAGCAGCGTGCATGGCCCTGTGTATCAAAAACTGTTCCTGCAAAGGGGTGCTAAGCCAGGAGAAACAACTACCTGTTTCCAGATGACCGAAGTTTTTTCTCTGAACAAAACTCGCAACGTCGTCGATGAAGCTTTGCTGTTTTCGATCAAGTTGTACCAAGCTGGAGATCTTCCAAAGCTCTCAACACCAGGCAACTCACAAAGTCGCCAAGTAGCAAAAACAGGCAAAGCCAGCCATCGTCGCGGTTTTCTCTGTGGCGACCATGGCTATAATCATCATCGCAATGGTGACCTGGAAGAAACAGATAAACTCGTACCTCAAACACTACAAACCATCGTTGGTGCGCGTCTTTAATTACCCGGAGCTCCTCACTGCAACCAAAGCCTTCAGTGCGAAAATCGCAAGTGGAGGCGTTGGCACGGTTTTCGAAGGGATACTCTCCGTTGCCGTGAAACGGCTGGAGAGCTTCTCGAGCCAAGGATACAAACAGTTCAAGGCGGAGGTGAGAGCGATCGGAATCATCCATCACAAGAACCTTGTAAGACTCAAAGGCTTTTTTTCCCAGGAATCACACTACTTCCTGGTTTACGAGTACGTAGCAAACGGGTACAAGCCGCGGGAAGACACGAGATTCAAGATAGTCGAGGAGATTGCTCGAGGGATGTGCTACCTCCACGAGGAATGCAGCACTAGAGTTCTGCACTTGGACATCAAGCCGCAAAACCTACTCCTGGACGAAAACTTTGGTGTCAAGATAGCAGAGTTTGGACTGTCGAGGATGGTAGAGCAAGGAGATCTAAGCGATGTCATGACAATGATCTGAGGAACACCCGGATACATGGCTCCGGAATGGTTGCAGATGCGAGTGAGAGACAAACTGGACATCTACAGCTTTGGGATCCTTGTGCTGGAAGTGGCGCTTTCCATACCTGTGTGTCTTGCGGGAGGAGCCCAAAGTTCCTGGCGGTTTGAGAAGCTTCGGTCTGGGAAGTTAATGGAGATGTTAGAAGAGAAGAGGGCGCGGCAAGAAATGGAGGCTACCTCTAAGGCCGAGAAGCTGCTTCGCATTGGAGTGTGGTGCATCCAACCGGATTCTCAGCCAAATTGTGGGAATCCACTGACACTCATAGATTTTGTATGAGAGGCACCATTCTATCGAGATTTAGTGGCACCAAAGCAGCGCCCGCCCTGCAAGTGCCCTAAGATTCTTCGAGGATATTATTTATTATTTAGATCCAGGCTTAGTTTGTTATATTTTTGTTTAGTTAAGTAAAAATAAAATAGTTTAATTTTTATTTATTTATAAATTATTTATTTTTTAAACGTAAAACCTTTGACAAGCGTTTGAGAGGAATGCCCAAATTTTTATTTCTTTTTAATTTCTATAATATTTCTAAAACATTGTTACTCTTTAAATGTCATTTATGAAAATCCAAATTCTATATCAACCAGTTTTAAACATAGAATCATGGGTTTTCTTTTAGACTTATTAAAGACGTAGGAAGAAAAGATAATTATTACTCAGGATTTTCACTTTCTAAAGTAGTGTTTTCAAAAAATGGTAAATGACAATATCATTATTAAATGCACAACCAAATAGTAGATAAAATATTTAGGCTTTGATTTACAAGTAGAATCTGGCTGATTTTGTTAGGGATGATTTTGTAAAATATTATATCAATGGACGGTTTAGCATATCGTATCAGCTTGATTCAGATTATATTTTTCCAGATAAAATAAAACTTGCTTATTTCACCCTACAAAACCATATAAAAACGATTGCAATATTATAAGGTATGCGACCACACCATTCTGTCTTTTCTACTTTCTGCAATCTTTAAATGGTTTATTCATGCTTTACATGCAACTGGACTGCAATCTACAAAGAGTATAATTGTTTGGAGCACTCACACAAATAGCTTTCTAAGGTTGCAAAAAGATGGAAATATGGTAATCTATGGTGAAAATTACACGGTTGTTTGTTCAGACAGCATTTACTGGAAAGACAAATGGATTACTAGTGCATTATGTGTTGATAACTCTGGACTTGTTGTAGTATACAACACTGTAGAGCAAACTTGTATATGGCAATCACCAAGATGAGAATTTAAAATCTAGCATTCACTCTACACAAATATGAGATAGAAGGACATAAGTTGATGCTCCAGAAGCTCTTGCGATGGCGCTTGGAGCAGCCATGTTTCCAAGCCGATTATTGCCATGAGTTTTACAAGCTCCAAGCAGCGTCATGTAGGCAATGGAGCCCGGCTCGATTGGCATGCTATCGATCACCTCTTGGGCCTCGTCAAGCCGGCCAGTTCGCCCAAACAAATCGATCACACACATGAAATGCTCCAGGTTTGGAGCTATGTGATGATCGAGCACAAGAGACTGGAAACTATACTTACCACTCTCAAAGAGCCCGGCATGGCTACACGCAGAGAGAACACTGACAAACGTGACTTCGTCCGGATCAAGCCCCTCGAGCTTCATCCTCCAGAAGAGATCAAAAGTTTCCTCAAAATGCCCGTTGTTCGCATACACCGAGATGATTCCATTCCATGAAACCACGTCCTGCCTTGTCGTTGCCTCAAACGCCACCTTTGCCCCTCGAAGGTATCCACACCTCCCATAAAAGTTGACCACGGCATTGTTTGTCATCACATCGGATTGAAACCTAGAGTGATGGAGCTCACCATGCACAAGCTTTCCCTTTTGGAGAGCGGTGATCCTCCCAAGGGCGTCAAGAACAGCCAAGAAACTCACCTTGTCCGCCTGGGTGCCTTCCAGATCCATTTGGTGGAAGAGCCGAGCAGCACTCTCGCATTCCCCGGCTTGGACGAAGATACAAATCAAGGTGTTCCACGAGACCGTGCTTGGCTCCTCCATTTTCTCAAAGATTTCCTTCGCTTTGTGGATATGCCCGGCTTGGGCATGCGCCACCATAGCTGTGTTGTGCGAGAAGCTGTCCCAGCAGGGCATCCTTTTCGTGAGAATCTCCAGAGCCTCGTCCACTCTCCCGTGCTGGATATAAGCCGCCGCGAGCGTGTTAAACGAGACCACGTCTGGAGAAGGAATGGTTTCCTCGAGGAAACTCGCGGCCTTGGCGAGATGCCCGTTTTGGGCATATGATCTTAGCAAAGAGTTCCACGAGACAGTGGATGGGTGCTCGATGCGATCAAACACTGCCTTGGATTCCTCCACTCCCTTGCATTTTCCATAGCTCGCCACCAGTGAAGTCGCCACGGCGAGATCGGAGATCCAGCCAGTGTGATCCGCCGCTGCGTGAACTTGGCGGCAGTGGGAGAGGCTCGAGAGGCCCGAGCACGCATCGAGAGCTGCGAGGAACGTCGCGCGGTCGGGTGTTGTGTCGATCTGCCAGAACAGCGCGAGTGATTCCTCGCAGTGACCGAGCTGGGCATAGGCCGCGATGATCGAGCTCCACGAACTCGTGTCTCGCTGCTCCATCCGATCGAATACCCGCCTCGCGCTGGCGAGGTGGCCTCTCTGGAGATACGCGGTGATCAGCGCGTTGCATGCCGCGATAGTGATCTCTGCCGAGATCTCGAGCAAGAACAGTGCTTGATCGAAGTGTCCCTGCTGGGCTTGAGCTCTAGCGACGATGCTCCACGAGGAAAGATCTCTCCGGGGCATTGTCTTGAAAAGGAGCATCGCTTCGTCGAGGCATCCATTGTGAGCATACGTCGCGATCATGGCGTTCCAGAGCTCTCTCCGCCGCTTCTTCTGCTCGAAGACGAGCTCGGCCCTCTCCACTGCACCGGATCTCCCGAACATCTTGATCAAGGAGCATGATACTCCGTGATCGCTACGCAAGGATCCGCAGGCTTGGCTCAAGTGGAAGATCCTCTCGCATCGATCAGGATCGCCAAGGCTGCCGCAGGCGTCGATGGCGATGATGTACGTGAGTTTGTTCTTGAGGACGTCCATTGAATCGAAAAGGTCTAGAGCTTCTAGCAGATGCCCAAGAAGGGCAAGTGCTGTGATCATCGCGTTCCAGAGAGTGGCGTCCTTGTGGCTTGTTTGATGAAATATCTCAAGCAACAAAACCATGTCACCTTTCGAAGCATAAGCTATGAGAAGTGATGTTCTTGAACGAAGATCGTGGGCTGGGAGTCTTTCATACAAATCTATGGACTCCAAAAAATGCCCTTTTAGGGCAAATGCTGAGAGTAGAGCGTTCCAGACAGCCAAATCTCTTTGTTTCATGCAATCAAAGAGATCCTTTGCATCCTGGAGCCGTTCATGGCGAGATGTGGCATCAATTATCGTCGTCCAGGAGATCACATCAACGCAAGGCATTCGGTCGAAGAACTCTCGCGCTTTGCAAAGATTCCCTGATTGGGCATACGCGGAAAGCATGGCGTTCCAGCATATCGCATTCCTGCCAATGATCCGATCAAAGAAATGCTCCGCGCTCTCGGCCTCGCCAATCTTTCCATAAACCACAACGAGCGCCGTCCCGACAGCGATCTGGGTGTGAATTCCCAGCTGGATTGCTTCCATGGCAATCGCCCTTGCCAGATCTCTATCCAGCTCTTCGATCCCGGCAATGGCATCGAGAACGCTCACGAAGCTGATGGAATCCGGTGCCACGCCCTGGAGATCCAAGCCCCGGAAAAATCCCAGCGCCTCTCTGCAATGCCCATTCTGGGCATACGCCGCGATGATCGTGTTCCAGGACACAAGATCTCTCTCCGGCATGGAATCGAAGAGCTCCTGCGACCGCGAGAGATTCCCAGCGCCGGCGTACCCGCTAATCAGCGCATTCCAGGAGACCACATCGCGATGAGCCATTCGCGTGAAAACGTCCCTGGCTCTGGCAAGATCCTCTGTCTGGGCAAATGCTCGAAGCAAGATCGTCCACGAGTAGACGTTGTGGCGGGCTGCGCCGCTGTGGAAGACGTTCTCGGCATCGCGCAGGCTGCCGCAGACGCTGTACATGTGAATGACAAGATTCGCGACGAATGTGTTGCGATCCAGGCCTGCCCTGGCGATCTGCGAGTGGAGAATCCGCGCCTCCGTGGGAGATCGGCATTTTCGGAGTAGTGCCGCCGCAGCATCTACGCGCATAGAACCATAATGCGTTTTAGGGTTCTAGAATATTTTCTTGGGCTGTGCTATGTTTCTTCGAATGCTGTCCTTTGTCAGTTTAAAAACTTAGATTGCTAACCCATTTATGATCAATTTTTTGTTCTCGGGAGATAGATTCAGTTTTGATCTGATGTTCGAATTGAAGAACTGTCCAAGCACTGAGCTGAACCATCACACTTTCATTCACACTAGACATCCAGAATTGTCACATGGTTCACAGTTGAATCAGGTAGCTGAGGTTGACACACATTGTGCAAGCACAATTTCTCAATCTTGAGTATGAATTTGGCGTTTGGACAAGGATTTCTCCCTTTCCTTGAATCCTTCTACTTTGATTTTTTCACTAGCACTTGGGCACCACTAATTTTCAGGAAGTCTCAAGAGAGAAATTCATTGTTTCCATTTAGATTCTTCTTCCAGCTTGGTTTTCTACTCAACACCAAATGCTTAGTGTGGATACCTCGGAGGGGCAAGGTTGGCTTTTGAGGCAACGACAGGGCAGGACGTGGTTTCATGGAATGGAATCATTGCGAACAACGGTCATTTTGATTAAACTTTTGATCTCTTCTGGAGGATGAAGCACGAGGGGCTTGATCCGGACGAAGTTACGATTGTCAGTTCTCTGTGCATGTAGCCACGCCCGGCTCTTCGAGAGTGGTAAGCATAGTTTCCATTTGCAGGTTATTGGATTTAAGTGCTTAGGGTGTTCTCTAAAATAAACCATGTGAACTGTGAATTGGCCGGCTTGACGAGGTCCAAGAGGTGATCAATAGCATGCCAATCGAGCCGGGCTCCATTGCCTACAGGAGCTTGTAAAACTCATGGCAATAATCGGCTTGGAAACATGGCTGGTCCAAGCGCCATCGCAGAGCTTATGGAGCATCAACTTATGTCCTTCTATCTCATATTTGTGTAGAGTGAATACTAGATTTTAAATTCTCATATTGGTGATTGCCATATACAAGTTTGCTCTACAGTGTTGCATACTATAACATGTCCAGAGTTATCAACACATAATGCACTAGTAATACATTTGTCTTTCCGGTAAATGCTGTACGACCAGACAACCATGTAATTTTCATCATAGATTACCATATTTCCATCTTTTTGCAACCTTAGAAAGCATCCATTGCCTTTGTTATTTGTGTGAGTACTCCAAACAATTACACTCTTTGTATGTAAAACTAGATTGCAGTCCAGTTGCATGTCAAGCATGAATAAACCATTTAGAGATTTCAGAAAGTTCCCATTTGATAATGTGGAAAAGACAGAATGGTGTGGTCCATTTCTTGCATACCTTATAAAATCGTTTTTATGTGGTTGTAAGTAAGCTTTACTTTATATGTGGAAAAATATAATCTGAATCAAGCTGATATGATATGGTAAATCGTCCATTGATATATTCTGCCAATTCAAATTTTACAAAATCATCCATAACAAAACCAACCATCATATCAAATCAGGAAAGGTATTCCATCTACTATTTGGTTGTGCATTTAAAAATGATATTGTCATATTTAAGGATTTAAATTTTTTCAAAAACACTGAGTAATAATTATCTTTTCTTCCTACTTCTTTAATAAGATCTTTAAGAAAAACCATGATTCTAAAGTGGTTTTCATAATTGGCATTTAAAGAACAACAATGTTTTAGTAATAATATTTATGTATTATAGATATTAAAAAGAAAAAATTAGGCAAATATTCCGTTTTAAACTTTTTGGTTTGCTTAAGCTGGTACTGGATATACCTAGAATATTCTAGAATATTCTACCATTTAACGGTTGTTATTCATGTATTTGTAATTTATAAACATGTTTATAATTTATTAAATTTCTTTAAAACTTTCTAATATATTCTTTTTATTTTACCATCTAATGATTGATATGCAATACTTAATCTTGTATTTATAAATTATAAACATGTTTATAATTATAAATTTTTATTTGGTCAATTGGATTAATAAGTACTATTAAGAAAATCAAGCATTGCTACATGCAACACGTAGCAAATTATTTATTTTACTTAACTAAACTAAAATAAATAAATTAAGCTAGACTAAACTAAACTTTATTAACTTCTTAAAATTCTCATTGCTCAAAGAATTTTAGGGCACTCTTGAGTCATTGCAGGGTGCCGCCTTGGATCCGGCTGGATGCACCACACTCCAATGCAAAGTAGCTTCTTGGCCTTAGAGGTAGCCTCCATTTCCTGCCGCACCTTCTTCCTCTTCTAACATCTCCATTAACTTCCCAGATCGAAGCTTCTCATGCCGCCAGGAACTTTGGGCTCCTCCCGCAAGACACACAGGTATGGAAAGCTTGTAGTCCGGTAGCCACTTCCAGCACAAGGCAAAGCTGTAGACGTCCAGTTTGTCACTCACTTTCATCTGCAACCATTCCGGAGCCTCATTGGCATGACATCGCTTAGATCTCCTTGCTCTACCATCCTCCACCTCGACAGTCCAACGTCTGCTATCTTGACACCAAAGTTCTCAGCCAGGAGTGTGTTTTGGGGATTGATAGCCAAGTGGAGGACTCTAGTGCTGCATTCCTCATGGAGGAAGCAAATTCCACGAGCAATCTCTCGACTATCCTGAATCTCGTGTCCCAGTTGTGCTCTTCTCGCGACTTGTAGATCTACTTGTCTAGGGATCCGTACTTGTAAACCAGGAAGTGGTGTGATTCCTGGGCATTGGGATTTTTCGGCGCTGGGATTTTTCCGGGGCTTGGATCTCGAGGGCGTGGCACCGGATTCCATCAGCTTCGTGAGCGTTCTCGATGCCATTGCCGGGATCGAGGAGCTGGATAGAGATCTGGCAAGGGCGATTGCCATGGAAGCAATCCAGCTGGGAATTCACACCCAGATCGCTGTCGGGACGGCGCTCGTTGTGGTTTATGGAAAGATTGGCGAGGCCGAGAGCGCGGAGCATTTCTTTGATCGGATCATTGGCAGGAATGCGATATGCTGGAACACCATGCTGTCCGCGTATGCCCAATCAGGGAATCTTTGCAAAGCGCGAGAGTTCTTCGACCGAATGCCTTACGTTGATGTGATCTCCTGGACGACGATAATTGATGCCACATCTCGCCATGAACGGCCTCAGGAGGCAAAGGATCTCTTTGATTGCATGAAACAAAGAGATTTGGCTGTCTGGAACGCTCTACTTTCAGCATTTGCCAAAAAGGGGCATGTTTTGGAGTCTATAGATTTGTATGAAAGACTCCCAGCCCACGATCTTCGTTCAAGAACATCACTGCTCATAGCTTATGCTTCGAAAGGTGACATGGTTTCGTTGCTTGAGATATTTCATGATAACATTTGATAATGATGACTAATACGCTCATAAGCATTTGTGAAAACTTTAAACCGTCTTTACAACCTTGATTATCAGATTGACATCTCATTAGTCGATGGCATCTTTCATATTGTCTCTCTTGTGCATAAGGAGGAAAAACTTAAACCAATCATAGGTTATATTCGAGCCGTTCATTAGCTATCTAATTATAAAATTATAGTCTCTAGCATATCCGTTAACAACATTTACTAATTAAAATTTAACGTTACTAATTTAGAGTTAGTCGTTAAACATTTAATGTGGGCGTGACTAAACGCGCCAGAGGAAGTGAGGAGTGAAGAGAGGGGAGGAAGTGAGGAGTGAGCATGGCAAAGGGGCAACCACGTAAGAGAGGAGGGTGCTGTATTATGCATTTCTCCCGAGATCTTTCCTCGTGGAGCATCGTCGCTAGAGCTCAAGCCCAGCAGGGACACTTCGATCAAGCACTGTTCTTGCTCGAGATCTCGCCAGAGATCTCTATCGCGGCATGCAACGCGCTCCGCGTACCTCCAGAGAGGCCACCTCGCCAGCGCGAGGCGGGTATTCGATCGGATGGAGCAGCGAGACACGAGTTCGTGGAGCTCGATCATCGCGGCCTATGCCCAGCTCGGTCACTGCGAGGAATCACTTGCGCTGTTCTGGCAGATCGACACAACACCCGGCCGCGCGACGTTCCTCGCAGCTCTCGATGCGTGCTCGGGCCTCTCGAGCCTCTCCCACTGCCGCCAAGTTCACGCAGCGGCGGATCACACTGGCTGGATCTCCGATCTCGCCGTGGCGACTTCACTGGTGGCGAGCTATGGAAAATGCAAGGGAGTGGAGGAATCCAAGGCAGTGTTTGATCGCATCGAGCACCCATCCACTGTCTCGTGGAACTCTTTGCTAAGATCATATGCCCAAAACGGGCATCTCGCCAAGGCCGCGAGTTTCCTCGAGGAAACCATTCCTTCTCCAGACGTGGTCTCGTTTAACACGCTCGCGGCGGCTTATATCCAGCACGGGAGAGTGAACGAGGCTCTGGAGATTCTCACGAAAAGGATGCCCTGCTGGGACAGCTTCTCGCACAACACAGCTATGGTGGCGCATGCCCAAGCCGGGCATATCCACAAAGTGAAGGAAGTCTTTGAGAAAATGGAGGAGCCAAGCACGGTCTCGTGGAACACCTTGATTTGTATCTTCGTCCAAGCCGGGGAATGCGAGAGTGCTGCTCGGCTCTTTCACCAAATGGATCTGGAAGGCACCCAAGCGGACAAGGTGAGTTTCTTGGCTGTTCTTGACGCCCTTGGGAGGATCACCGCTCTCCAAAAGGGAAAGCTTGTGCATGGTGAGCTCCATCACTCTAGGTTTCAATCCGACGTGATGACAAACAATGCCGTCGTCAACTTTTATGGGAGGTGTGGATGCCTTCGAGGGGCAAAGGTGGCGTTTGAGGCAACGACAAGGCAGGACGTGGTTTCATGGAATGGAATCATCTCGGTGTATGCGAACAATGGTCATTTTGAGGAGACTTTTGATCTCTTCTGGAGGATGAAGGATTTCTTGTTCAAGCTCCCTAAGAATACTTTAACTCTGGTCATGCAATCTTGGGTCGTGGGCCGAATGGGATCGCGGCAACATTGATGGTTCATGCTGGATGGATAACACTAACAAGTTTCATTCAGCGTAGATTTCCATCAGCCTAGTAGTGACATTCCCTTCATTTCTGAATAGTAGCTAATTAGCTTAAGCATGGACGTCCCACGCGATGCATGCAGGCATTGCCCAGCAGCAGCGCATATAAACCGATGCAAGCTTGAAATTGTAGCTCTCAAGTTTCAGTTCAAGAAAAATGGCGAAATTGCTTGTTCTTTCCTCCCTCCTCTTCGGCCTGCTGCTCTTGGCGGCCGATGCATCTCAGCGTACGTGCGAACTTCTGCATTGCAATTTCAAGATTCTTGCTCTCTAATCTGTGGAATCCATGTGTAGCGGTTGACAAGGAGAGCACCAGTGAGAATTACAATGTCATTGTCGAGGGACCTCGTGAAGGCAGCGAGGCTGGCCCTGGTCTCAACAACGTTGTCACCCAGGAGCCCCCTGGAAGCACGGTATGATCAGGAGCTTTTGATTATGCGCCACTGTTTCTCCGTTTGTTAATGCTGTAGGCCTCCAAGATACATACTGCTGCCTGAAGGATGGTTTCGGATCATGTCTTCAGGAGTGCGACTCGGGCGTCAAGTACTACTGCTGCCTCAAGAATGGAGTCGGCAGCTGCCTGCAACTCTGCGACCCCAAAGTCAATTACTTCTGCTGCCTCAAGAATGCATTTCGCAGCTGTTTGCAGCTGTGCGACTTGTCCAAGAAACACTACTGCTGCAAGACGAACGTTTCTGGTTCCTGCGTTGGACTGTGCCCCAAAACGGTGAATCTGATGTGATTTTGCTTGATGAACATGTGTGAATGCATTCAAAGAATAAATTGCTTCTGTGACAACCTTTCACTTTAACAAAACACCATTTGCCATCAGTGTAAAACAATATAATCATCTTCTGGGCTTGGCGCCACCATTGCCTTTGCTCGCAGGCTTGCCACCTTTGCCTCTGTTCGCAGGCTTGCCACGTTTGCCTTTGCTCGCACCTTTGCCACCCGTCTTACCACCTTTTCCACCGCCTTTGCCAGGCTTGCCACTTCCTCGGGATCGTGAGTCCTTCTTCATGCGACGATCCACCACAAGCTTCCCTTTGCCACCCTTGACCCTCACGCCCTTCTTCGCCACAACGAGCTCCCGCTTGGGACGCTTATTGGTCGTCGCCGCCGCTTTCTTGTAAACCTTGTCCATCATCCTGTTCTTGGACTTGTTCGAGATGTCCGGCTGATCGGCAATCGCCGCCGCTCTGCTTCGTGCTTGCTCCATTTTCTTCATCACCCTCCGCTTCTTGCGAGCCTTGGCCTCAGCAACCTTCTTCACGGGCCTGGCGTCTATCGCTCTAAACTGCGCCCTCATCGCCTGGACCTCTTCCTTGGTGAATGGCTTCTGAATCTTGCAGTGCCGCTTCTCGTCGTCCGCGAACCATTCCGGGAGCCCCTCGTCGTCGAACATGTACTTGTTGTAGGCGTCGTCGATGATCCTGTCTCTGTCCTTCTTCCGCAGCATCTTCTTGGCGTAAGTGAGGATCTCTGCCTTGGCGTCGCTGTCGTAGTCCTCCTCTTCGTCCGAGGAAGAGTCGGACGAACCACTCGGCTCGGCTGCTACAACCTCAAAGTCTTCCCGTGCTCTCTTGAGCTTTCCTGGCGCAACCGTGACATCGCTCGGAGGAGCGTCCTTGGCAGTCTTGTCCTTGTTGGTATCCGTCTCCGGGGTTTGATCTAAACCGGCGAAGATGTCTTGACTGAACCATTGCTGTGCAATCTGTTCCTTCGAGAGCTTGGCCTTGGGAAGCGACACGACCAGAGGATTGGCCTCCTCCTCCTCCTCTTCTTCTACTTCGTTTTCTTCTTCCTCAGAAGCATTCTCTTCCACGTCCTCCTAAGGATATTGTCAGCTGCTTGCAAGTTCTAGCACTTTCATTTGGCTTACCTCCCACAGCTTTTCGTCTCCTGCGTTAGCCATTCTTGCGCGTTTCCGCCGTGCAGTGTTGCTTTCAGTCTTGCTCCGGTAGCGTTCGTATGCACGATCGAGGAAAGATTCCAGCTCGTCGTTGTATCTGCGAGAGATTACGTTAACACTTCAAGGCGTAGTTCTTACCTTTCGCGCTCGACGTCAGAATCCACATCATTGTCTTCGTCATCCTTCCGCTCCATGTCCTGCTTACTCGTTTCATCCTTCACATTGTCATCGCTGTCCAACATGTCGTCATCCGCATCTTCCACCCGATCCAAGCTTTTCTTCGCCTGGAAAAGTGTCCAACATGAGCTCCTAGGCACAGACGAGAAAGCGGACAAACAAACCTTGATTGAGCCCAAAGAGAACAGATCCCGCTCGCCATAAGTGTCTCCCAAGACATCGACTTGCATCCCTGTTCTATTTCGTGCGTTTAGCTGCAGTGTTGTGGCCCATCAACATACACAACAACAAAAGATAGACAAACAATATGTACCTTCTGTTTACGCTTGGCAGCCTTCTTCTTCGCCTGCTTGCTTTTCGAATCCATTAGAGACTTGAGCTCCTCCATTTTCTTTAGCATATCCTCGTCTTCATCTTCTTTTTCGTCGTCATCCTTTTCAGCAGCCTTATCACCCTCTGTTTCCTCCGAAGCTGACGTTTTCGAAAGAGCTTTTCGTACATGCAGGCACCACCTGAGAGAACCAAATGAGCATGAAAGACAACAGCCACGAGAAGTAGAACCTACTTCAAAAGTTGCTTGAATTCTTTCTTCCCCAGAACTCTAAGGTCTTCGCATAATGCTTTTATCTACAAGAAAAAAAGTCCTCCAAATCAAAACAAGCAAACGAGGATTAGATATGAACGTACCTCGTCAGTTGTTTCAGCGTGGTCTTTGATTGGCGAACTTTTCGGATCCTCAAACGAAATAGACGTGATGCTACCAAGAAGCTCTAGAGGTTTTTCGGACCAGACGAAGTCTGCTGCCGTGCAGTCTTTACGAAAAGTAGTGTTTGCGTCATCGTATCTGCAGAAAATAAAAAACATAAAACCAAGAGTCTATTTGACGTGAGAACCCACCCCTCGCGGTGACGTTTCTGTTTACTACTACGAAGAACGTCGATCACCTACACAATTTACTCGGCTTTAGCGCAAGCACCTTGTTTACAATAACAAAACCCACCTTTGGGGGCTGAGGAATCTCTTCAAATAAAAAGCGAGGGTCCAAGTTACGCGGATCGATTTTCACGGGTGCCAGATACTTGAGACCAACCACGTATATTTCAGCTGATGTCGAACGACTTGCTATGGGTTTCGTGACTTCCACCTTGGCAAACAGCTACCAAACGATACAAGAGGCAATGAAATATCACTCAAAAAACCATGACAAACATACCTGTTCAAATGCATACTTCAGCGCGTTATAATCTTGGGATCGAAAAACCTGCAAGAAAAACCAATTTTGGGAATCAGAGAAGAAGGAAAAATTCAAAAATGGAGGAAGAAGAAGAATTCTTCGTACCTTGGTGACAAACGTTCCTTTGGGAGCCAGAAACTTGGTAGCCAACTTCAAAGAATCCAGGACAAGAGACGACTGCGTCATGGCTTCTTTGGCCCAGGCACCTCCCACATTGGGGGAGCCATCGTGGAGCACAACATCGACCATCCTCAACCCGTTCTGGTCGAGAATCTTCCCAATATCCGACGCGCATTTTGGAGTGGTGATATCGCCCTGGAGCGACAGCGCCCCTCTCACGGGACGAATCGGCACCAGATCCACGCCGATTACCACAGACCTCACGGGCATCTTCTCCACGGCCACCTGCATCCATCCCCCGGGCGCCGCGCACAAATCCAGCACCGAGTGCGCCGAGCTGAGGAAGCCATACTTGCGATCGAGCTGCACGAGCTTGAATGCGGCACGGGAGCGGTAGCCCTGCTCCTTGGCGAGGTAGTAGAAGCGATCCAAGCGGTGCTTCCCCTTCTTCGCCTTCCCCATCCCTGCAAGACCTTCGAGGAACCCTAAAACCCCACTTTAGGTTTACAAGAAATATTCTGGTGGATATTCGAGCGCTTTTAAAATGAGTCAGTCGACATTGGATACAAGCAAATCACATTCATAAAGTCTTCCCTTCTTGGGTGATATGCTAGTTATTTATCTTAAGCATGCATCGCGTGGGGATGGGGACGCCCACGCGATGCATGCAGGCATTCCTCCTTTATAAACAGATGCAAAACCTTGTATTGTCAAGCATAATATTTCTGATTTCAGTTCAAGGAGAATGGCCAAAGTTCTTCTTTCCGCCCTCCTCTTTGGCCTGCTGCTCTTCGTAGTGGATGCATCTCGCAACACTCAGCGTACGTGCAAACACTTCCGCATTCTTGCAAATTGTTTCTCTAACCTGTAGAATGGCTCTAGTGACTGGCAGGGAGAGCGATGTGACTTACGTCATCGATGGGCCTCGTGAAGGTAACCAGGCTGCTGATCTCAATGTTATCATCCAGAACACCCCGAAACACGGTAACTTAAATCACGTTATGATCTTCCTTGTTGTGATCATGAGCTGTCCTTGTGACATTGATTATGCCACTGCTTTTCCGCTTTTGATGCTTGCAGGCCTCCAAGATACATACTGCTGCCTGAGGAACGGCTTTGGATGTGTTCAGGAGTGCGACTCCAACATCAAATACTACTGCTGCCTGAAGAATGGATTCGGATGCCAACAGTTCTGCGAGGAAAACGTTAATTATTTCTGCTGCCTCAAGAATGGATTTGGCAGCTGCCAGCAGCTCTGCGACTCGTCCAAGGAACACTACTGCTGCAAAAAGAACGGCTTTGGGAGCTGCACTGGAATGTGCCCCAAAACCGTGGACCTGATGAAGTGATCTGCGTTTGATGAAAAGTGTATGCAACATCTGGAATCAAAAGCTTATAATTGCTGATACTCTTTACAATTTTTTCGCTAGACATTTACGTTTTTCAACTGAGTTTGTAAGTTCCCTTTTAGCATAGCTTGCCATGCCACTCCCGCTGGATCGTCCATTGGGAGACAGTAGTAGAACTGGAGACGTTACAGTCCCCTTTGAACAAGGTCTCAGCGCCTCATTTAAGTAAATCGTAAGAAAAAAAAACTTGGAAGCTGTTATAGTCCCATGTGCTCCACACGTGAAAGGTTCTAAGAATATCTTATTTTATGAATAATTGTTTAAACTTGAGCTTTAGCTCGATTCATAAGATCGTCCCAACACACCTTGCGCTTTCTTCTCATGTCTTCCAATTCCATGCTTATATTCATTGCCGCCTTGTTTCTCAATTGTCTAGCGCATAATGCATCGTAGTTGCGTCTCGATCATACTCGTGATCACCACCCTGCTCGAAGCTCATCTCGTAAGATCACAGGAATCCACAGCCAAGCCAACACAAGCTGGGTACTCAATGACACTGGAAGCGCCATTGTCCTCCAAGCTCGAATTACACTTGGCTTTACCACCCCTAGGAGCAAACCTCGCAAGAGTCTCAGTTCTACTTGTCAGTCTTCCTCCCAATGGACGCCATGGAACTATCCAGCAGCGGTGGCATGGCGAACTACGCGGAAACCTGTCCGGAAAGGAGCGTACCGCGACCTAGTGCTGAGCGACGTCGATGAAAGCTTTGTGTGGTCGACCAACACGGGCCTCGAGAGCTCTGGAATCTCGTAATCCGGAGCAAAACTGGAGCTTTGCTGTGGCAGAGCTTTGATCATCCCGGTGATGCTATGCTCCCTGCCAGCCTCTAAAACCAGGGATGAAGTTCTTGATCGCTTTGAACTCCAGTATGTTGGGATATTTTGGAGAGCTCTGGAGCTCCGACGAGGAAGGAAGAAGAAGAGATATCTTTTCTCTTCCTCGTCAATAGCAGCTTGGAAATCCACGGGACGAAAGGTGTTATGTGGTCCACTCCAACGATCGGTGATGTTACTGATCAATACGGATACCAGTTACTCAAGATCTACTCGAACGGAGAGCTCCATTTTACCTCGAGATCATTCAGCAGCAGCAACAGCACGAAGAGCATCGACTTAAAACCCGCAGTTATTCGGGAACAGCTTGCTTACTCGAACCTGTGGGATCTCGTTCCAGACAGCTGACAGATGCCTCTGTCCGGAGCTCAAGAACGACACCAGGAGATCGTCATCCATGCAGTACGTTTCTTCCGGGGACAAGGAGAGATGCAGGCCCGAAAATGAACCTGGAAGAACCTGCGAAAACTCGCAACATTACTACATGCTCGAAGCCACAGTACGATACTTCTACAAACCTCTAGATTTATCCAGTGCGCTCCACAACGTCTCCAGCAGCGTGCATGGCCCTGTGTATCAAAAACGGTTCGTGCAAAGCAGTGCTAAGCCAGGAGAAAACGAGTACCTGTTTCCAGATGAATGAAGTTTTTGCTTTGAACAGAACTCGCAACGTCGCTGATCAAGCTTTGCTGTTTTCGATCAAGTTGTACCAAGCTGGAGATCTTCCAAAGCTCTCAGCACCAGGCAGCTCGCAGAACAAAGTAGCCAAGCAGCAGAAAAAGGCAAAGCCAGCCATCGTCGCGGCTTTCCCTGTGGCAACCATGGCTATAGTCATCATTGCAATGGTGATCTGGAAGAAACAGATAAACTCGTACCTCAAACACTACAAACCATCGTTTCCATCCGGTGCTATGGACGTGGTTCGCGTCTTCACGTACCCGGAGCTCCACACTGCAACCAAAGCCTTCAGTAAGAAAATCGGAAGTGGAGGCTTTGGCACGGTTTTCAAAGGATACTCTCGGATGGATCCAAGGTTGCCGTCAAGCGTCTGGAAAGCTTCTCGAGCCAAGGATACAAGCAGTTCAAGGCGGAGGTGAGGGCGATCTGAAGCATCCATCACAAGAACCTGGCAAGACTCAAAGGCTTTTGCTCCCAGGAATCACACCACTTCCTGGTTTACGAGTACGTAGCAAACGGATTGCTAGACAAGTGGATCTACAAGCCGCTGGAAGAGCTCAACTGGGACACGAGATTCAGGATAGTCGAGGAGATTGCTCAAGGGAATTGCCGAGGAATGCAGCACTAGAGTCCTCCACTTGGATATCAAGCCGCAAAACCTACTCCTGGACGAAAACTTTGGTGTCAAGATAGCAGAGTTTGGACAGTCGAGGATGGTAGAGCAAGGAGATCTAAGCGATGCAATGACAATGATCTGAGGAACACCCGGATACATGGCTCCGGAATGGTGAGAGACAAACTGGACATCTACAGCTTTGGGATCCTTGTGCTGGAAGTGGCTAGCGGACTTCAAGCTTTCCATACCTGTGTGTCTTGCGGGAGGAGCCCAAAGTTCCTGGCGGCATGGGCGTTTGAGAAGCTTCGATCTGGGATGTTAATGGAGATGTTAGAAGAGAAGAGGGCCCGGCACGAAATGGAGGCTACCTCTCAAGCCGAGAAGCTGCTTCGCATTGGAGTGTGGTGCATGGCAGCGCCCTGCAATGGCTCAAAGGAGTGCCCTAAAATTTATTATTAAGGAGTTAAAACTTTTACTTTAATTTGTTAGGTTTTGTTTTACTTTGAATATTTGCCCAATTTTTTCCTTTTAATATGTATAATACATAAATAATATTACTAAAACATTGCTATTCTTTAAATGTCCACTTTAGAATCATGGTTTTTTTTTTTAATCTTATTAAAGAAGTAGGAAGAAAAAATAATTATTACTCAGTGTTTTTGAAAAATGGTAAATCCTTAAATATGACAATATCATTTTTAAATGCCCAACCAAATAGTAGATGGAATACCTTTCCTGATTTAGTATAACAAGTAGAATTTACAGATATGATGGTTGGTTTTGTTATGGATGATTTTGTAAAATTTGGATCGGCAAAATATATCAATGGACAATTTACCTTATCATATCAGCTTGATTCAGATTATTTCCACATGAAGTAAAGCTTACTCACAATCACATAAAAACGATTTCAATATTTATAAGGTATGCATAAGAAATGGACCACACCGTTCTGTCTTTTCTACATTGTCAAATGGGAACTTTCTGAAATCTCTAAATGGTTTATTCATGCTTGACATGCAACTGGACTGCAATCTAGTTTTACATACAAAGAGTGTAATTGTTTGGAGTACTCACACAAATAACAAAGGCAATGGATGTTTTCTAAGGTTGCAAAAAGATAGTAATCCCAGTAAATGCTGTACGAACTAAACGACCGTGTACTTTTCATCATAGATTACCATGTTGATAACTCTGGACATGTTATAGTATACAACACTGTAGAGCAAACTTGTATATGGCAATCACCAAGATGAGAATTTAAAATCTAGCATTCACTCTACACAAATATGAGACAGAAGACATAAGTTGATGCTCCAGAAGCTCTTGCGATGGCGCTTGGACCAGCCATGTTTCCAAGCCGATTATTGCCATGAGTTTTACAAGCCCCAAGCAGCGTCATGTAGGCAATGGAGCCCGGCTCGATTGACATGCTATCGATCACCTCTTGGACCTCATCAAGCCGGCCAGTTCGCCCAAGCAAATCGATCACACACATGAAATGCTCCAAGTTTGGAGCTATGTGATGATCGAGCACAACAGACTGAAACTATGCTTACCACTCTCAAAGAGCCCGGCGTGGCTACATGCACAGAGAACACTGACAATCGTAACTTCGTCCGGATCAAGCCCCTCATGCTTCATCCTCCAGAAGAGATCAAAAGTTTCATCAAAATGACCGTTGTTTGCATACGCCGAGATGATTCCATTCCATGAAACCACGTCCTGCCCTGTCGTTGCCTCAAAAGCCAACCTTGCCCCTCCGAGGTATCCACACTAAGCATTTGGTGTTGAGTAGAAAACTAAGCTGAAAGAAGAATCTAAATGCTGAAAAGAATGGAAACAATGAATTTCTCTCTTGAAACTTCCTGAAAATTAGTGGTACCCAATGATGTAAGAAATGTGCTAGTGAAAAAATCAAAGTAGAAAGATCCAAGGACAAGGAGAAATCCTTGTCCAAAAGCCAAATTCATACTTGAGATTGAGAAATTGTGCTTGCATAATGTCTGTCAACCTCAGCTACCTGATTCAATTGTGAACCATGTGACAATGAATGAAAGTGTGATGGTTCAGCTCAGTGCTTGGAAAGTTCTTCAATTCGAACATCAGATCAGAACTGAATATATCTCCCAAGAACAAAAAATTAACACTTTGAATTAAAAATCTTATTTCTTGACTTAACAAAGAGTTTGTCCTTGTTTAGCCATAGGATTACCTCATCATAAATGGGTTAACAATCTAAATTTTTAACTTCCACCCAAAAAAATCCTTGTCCAAACGCCAACTTCATACTCAAGATTGAGAAATTATGCTTGCATAATGTCTGCAGCTACCTGATTCAATTGTGAACCATGTGACAATTCTACCGGCAGTGTGAATGAAAGTGTGATGGTTCAGCGCAGTGCTTGGAAAGTTCTTCAATTTGAACATCTGAATCTATCTCCCAACAACAAAAGCTGATCATAAATATGTTAGCAATCTAAGTTTTTAAACTGACAAAGGACAGCATTCGAGGAAACATCTAGTCTGGTTGTGCATTTAAAATGATATTGCCATTTTTTAAAAACACTACTTTAGAAAGTGAAAATCCTGAGTAATAATTATCTCTTCTTCAGACTTCTTTAATAAGATCTAAAAGAAAACCCATGATTCTATATCTAAAAATGGTTGGTATAGAATTTGGATTTTCGTAAATGACATTTAAAGAGTAACAATGTTAGAAATATTATAGAAATTAAAATAAAAAAACTTGGTTATATTAAATATTCCTCTCAAATGGTATACATTTACCAATTAAAATTTTCTGAAGTAATAATAAAAACTAAAATATACTAAACATTTTAATTTACTTAACTAAACTAAAATATAACAAACTATCTTAAAGGATTTAAATAATAAAAACTATCCTGGTGCTCCAATGCGAAGCAACTTCTCGACCTTAGAGGTAGCCTCCATTTCTTTCCGTGCCCTCTTCTCTTCTAACATCTCCATTAACTTCCCAGATCAAAGCTTCTAAAACGCCCACACCACCAGGATCCCACAAGACACACAGGTATGGAAAGCTTGTAATCCGGTAGCCACTTTCAGCACAAGGATCCCAAAGTTGTAGATGTCCAGTTTGTCACTCACTCTCATCTGCAACCCTTCTAGAGCCATGTATCTGTATTCCTCAGATCATGGTCATGACATTGCTTAGATCTCCTTGCTCCACCATCCTTGACAGTCCAAAGTCTGCTATCTTGACTCCAAAGTCTGCTATCTTGACTCCAAAGTCTGCTATCTTGACACCAAAGTTCTTGTCTAGGAGTATGTTTTACAACTTGATGTCCAAGTGGAGAACTTTAGTGCTGCATTCCTCGTGCTGAAAAACTTCTTCCACTATATACGCCCCAATCCATGTGCACTTGAGTTTTCTTGGCCTCTTCCAACACTTCAAATCATAAAGTAGCACTTTATCACCCACTGTAAACTCTTTCTTGCAAAGATGATGATCACGCTAGGCTTTCCTATGTTTTTGCATCACCTTCATGGCTTGGAATGCTAACAACCTCTTCTCATCCAAGTGATCCAACTGCTATAACATGTTTTTTATTGCTCCATTCCAATCCAAGTCATGCTCAATAGCTAGCCGAAGAGAGGGAATTTCTAGCTTGATTCGAAGAACTGCTTCTTGACCATACACCAACTGGAATGGTGAATATTGCATTGTCACTTTGAAGGCAACTCTATAAGCTCAAACTGCATTTAACAACTGCTTGTCCCAGTCCAATCTACTAGCTGAACATGTCTTAGAAATAATAGTACAAAGAGTACCATTTGTCTACTCCATTTGTCCATTGCAACAAGGATAATACAAGAGTAGATTTCCTGTGCTTCAAACTATAAAGTTTAGTGAGTGTAACTACCTCTATCACTGACTAAATCTAAAGGACAACCAAACTTAGTAATAACTTGCTTGTACAAAAACTCACTAACTTTTCTGCCTATAGCTTCCTTCAACACTTTTACATCAACCCACTTAGTCACATAGTCAATACAAACTACCATGTACTTGCAACGAGTATGCTTATTTGTTAGAAAAGGCTTGACAAAACCAATTCCCCATTTCTTGGATGGCAAACACTAGCAAAGGTGGTTGCAACTGCATCATATCTCTTCTTGATAGTTTCCCAATCCTTTGACATGGATCACAACCTTTCAAATACTTTGAAATATCTTAGTGCATAGTCAGCCACCAATATCCTATCCTCTTTACCAACTCAATCATAGCTTCCTCACTAAATTGTCCCCCAAAAGGTGAGTCATGACATGTAGAAATAACTTGAGGTACCTCATGAGCTAGCACACGCAGCCAGTGTGATCTGCCGCTGCATGAATTTGGCGGCAGTGGGAGAGGCTCGAGAGGCCTAAGCACGCATCAAGAGCTGCGAGGAATGTCGCATGGTCGGGTGTTGTGTCAATCTGCCAGAAAAGCGAGAGTGATTCTTCACAGTGACCAAGCTGGGCATAGGCCACGATGATCGAGCTCCACACTGCTCCATCTGATTGAAGACACGCCTCCCACTGGCGAGGTGGCCTTGCTGGAGAAAACCGGCGATGAGCACGTTGCATGCCGTGACCATGATCTCCGGCGAGATCTCGAGCAAGAACAATGCTTGATCGAAGTGTCTTTGCCGGGCTTGAGCTCTAGCGACGATGCCCACAAGGAAAGATCTCTCCTGGGCATTGTCTTGAAGAGAAGTATCACTTCGTCGAGGCATCCATTGTGAGCATACGTTTCCAGAGCTCTCTCCGCTGCTTCTTCTGCTCGAAGATGAGCTCGGCCCTCTCCACCGCACCGGATCTCCCAAACATCTTGATCAAGGAGCTCGTGATCGCTACGCAAGGATCCGCAGGCTTGGCTCAAGTGGAAGATCCTCTCACGGCACCAAGGCTGCCACAGGCGTCAATGGCAATGATGTACGTAAGCTTGTTCTTGGGAACTTCCATTGAATCGAAAAGGTCCAGAGCTTCTTGCAGATGCCCAAGCTGGGCAAGTGCTGTGATCATCGCATTCCAGAGCGGCGTCTTTGTGGCTTTTTTGATGAAAGATCTCAAGCAACCATGAGCAGTGATGTTTATCGTGAGCTGTCAGACTTTCATACAAATTAATCGATTTCACAAAATGACCCTTTTTGGCAATGTTGAGAGTTGCACGTTCCTGGAATCAAAGAGATCCTTTGCCTCCTGGAGCTGTTCTTGGCGAGATGTGGCATCAGTTATCGTCGTCCAAGAGATCACATCAGCGCAAGGCATTCGGTCGAAGAGCTCTTGTGCTTTGCAAGGATCCCCTGATCGGGCATACGCGGACAGCATCGCATTCCAGCAAATTGCATTCCTGCCAATGATCCGTTTAAAGCACTGCTCCGCGCTCTCGGCCTTGCCAATCTCCATAAACCACAACAATCACTGTCCCCAAGCGATTTGGGTGTGAATTCCAAGCCAGATCTCTATCCAGTTCCTTGGCAATAGCATCAAGCTGATGGAATCCGGCGCCACGCCCTCAAGATCCAAGCCCCGGAAAAATCCCAGCGCCTCTCTGCAATGCCCATTCTGGGCATTCGCCGCGATGATCGTGTTCCAGGACACAAGATCTCTCTCTGGCATGGAATTGAGGATTGTCCAGGACTAAGTGATGTAGTTGAAAGCTGCAAGAGAGAAGTCAATATGCTGAGTTCTTATGTTAGTATTTTTTTTTACATCAAATGGAAAACATGCCATAATCCACACTTGTTAATCCACACTTGTCCTGTTTGTTCTTAACATTTTATTTCCAGCTTTTTATCTAATAATTATGGGAACTGGTTCTGGATAGACCATTTCTCAATATGCATCCTTAGAAAAAAACATAACTACTTCCAGATCTAAGGAAGTTTTCAATTGCCATTAAAAAGTGATTCAATAGAAGAAACTTAAGGACTGTATAAAAGGGATAAAGAACATATAAATTAGGCTAAGTTTTTTTTTTCTTTTCTTTACATTGGGAGGAATAGAAAGAACAATCTCTTACAAAACCACAATCTCTTTCATTATAGAATGTAAGGAGCTGATTCATAGCAGTGCGCGTCATGGTGTCGCATATCAATAATCTGTCCAGCAGCTCGATCATCAGCTCCTTTCGCATCACTTTGCTGGGTCTTTTTTGATATTTAAGGTGAAAATTATGAAATCATAAACAATTTTCTTTTCCTAATATAATTGTTTTCTGCAAATTTTCAGTTGAAGACATGGTGCATTATCTATAGTAAGAGGTTTTAAAAAAAGTGTGGAGAATTATCAATTGAGTGAAATATGGTAATGAATATATGATGAATCATTATATATTTAAACATGTGCAAATTTTTTTTTTTTTTGAGTTGCATATAAAAATATTATGCATACAAACACTTTACAAGCAATTGAAACATAATCACTTTTTGATTACTATATAAGCAATTAAAACATGATTGTGTGTATAATATTTTTGTCATATGATATGCTATATATGCATAGGGTATGTCATATATGCATGGGGTATAACATCTTAAACTACCAATTATTTTTTTTGTTTTATTTTTGTGTTATTAAGTGCAGATTTATGATCCCTTGATTGTGATCATCTCTCTCTTTCTTTGTGTGCATTTCATTGTTTTTCATTCTACGTGACTATACTTCATTTCTCATAACTTGAAGGCACATTTTGATCACAATGCACACTAATGTAAATATAGTGTTTTGATCCGTTTTGCAAGTGCTTCTCATTTAGCACAGTTTATTTATAATATGATACTTTTATCTAAAGATTCACTTGCTAGTTAAAAAAGCACTCCATTTAACACTTTAAAAATAAAAAATAAAGCTTTACATTCACTTTTGTGCTTCAATTAATTGTGCTCACCTCTACACCAATCATTTGCTACCATTTGCTACCAACTTAATAGTGACACTTTATTTTTTGATCCAATGGAATGGATGATGTTGCCACAAACAGCAGAAGAGGATGTGACAAACTCTGCAAAATACTGATATCCTCATTGTAGTGCTTTTTGAACTCCGACTTCCAAGAGTAGAGGGAACCTACGCACCAAAAATACTACTCTGATTTGGAGCTCAATGATCACAATACTTGTCCAGCTTGGGCATTTGCAGGAAACTCTCGGAAGTCATCCATTCCATTGGATCAAAAAATAAAGTGTCACTATTAAGTTGTCGTGTAGACAATGGCAAGGTTCTTGTGCTCTGCCATTTTAAGCTCTTCAGTAAGCTCTACTAGCTTGGAGAAAAGAACAGTCACTTATTTGGACTCTTTGAAATAAGAGGTGAGATTGTAGTTCTAATAAGCTGAGCACCAGGAAGCATTTCTGCATAATTTCCCTTTATAAGGTCTGCAAACATCTACAACAATATTATCTACTGAGGGAAACTAGCAATGCTAGTAACTTACAACCTCAGTAAACATGGTTCATGGCAGGTGGTACCACTTTGCTTCTGTGCATTGGAATCTTAAATATTGTGAAGTTTAATTTAGACTTACCATTTGGGTTAAACTTCTCTAGTTCCTATTGATTTTCTTTTATATTTATTTATCATTCATCAAGTGTAAAGTTTCTTTCATTATAGCAAGTAATTTGTGATGGTAGTTTTGGGGGAGGGGGGGTACACCTCCCAAAAGGAAAGGTGTACCAAAGATGGGCGGCATAGCAAAAAAATGTGCAAAGTGTGTATATGTATATATAAAATATATAAATATATGCTTAAATTGATAATATTTTAAATACAATTTTTTTGGTTTGCTTAAGCAAACCTATAGGGGGACTGGGATGGTAGTGAATATACGTAGAATATGCTTGGATATTCTAGGATATTCTACCATCTAACGGTTGGTATTCATTTAGATTAATCTGGTATTTATAATTTATAAACATGTTTATAATTTATAAACTTTCCTAAACCCTTTCTAGTATATTCTTTTTTATTCTATCATCTAATGGTTGATATGCAATAAGATTAATCTTGTGTTTATAAATTACAAACATGCTTATAATTATAAACTTTATTTGATCAATTAGATTAATAAGTAAT